GAAGAGTTCAGCATGTCTGGAACTTTAGTTGCCTTGACATGTTCAAAACATCCGATCCTTGGGGGACTTGTGCATTATACACCAACCGTCCAAGTCTCTTTATCGAACTCGAGTGAATGCAGAGCAGCACATGCTGCTGCAGTAGGGCAGGAAAAGGGCGTATGGGCCAATGCTGTCTTCGGCAAATCTCACAATAGAGGTCTGGGCAGAGTTTACCTGCATTTTGAAGTCTCAAGGAAAACTAGACTTCCTGACTTGAGGTCGTGTGACTGGCCAATTAACAGTCACATCGATACAATTGGAAGAGCTGCAGGATACATGGATTTATCTGATGTGAATGTGTACAGATCAATTCTACCAACATATATGAGAAGATAGCCAGCACACTTTGCTGAAATGATTGTCAAGATTCGTCTTGAACAGGTGAAAGCAGATCGAGATCTCATACTTATCCGCCCAATAAATCTAGAGCAGAAACGGCATTCATTTCTGGTAAAAAATGATTGTTCATCACGTTTGTTGCCTTGGGTTAGAGCAGGTGGCCTGTCTCCCCAGAAAATGGGGGATTATATCATAGCACTTATACCAGCATGTGAAAGTGTGTTTCCACTCCTCTACCTTTCGTCAAAGTCCATCATTGAAGCTGCGAACGGCAAGACCTTTGAAGATGACCCGAGACATCCCTTCCCGTCAGTGTGACTTACGATATCATTAATTATCGTAAAAAAAAGATGCAATTTCACAGAAAACAGTTTGATATAGACCAGGAACCATTCAGATAGAACCCGATCGAATCGATAGCTAAAGCTATATCCTCTTTGTCAGAAGCGGGTTCAACATCTTGATGCCAACCTGGAAACTATGTTGAAGAATGGCCAAAGGAACCAGCAAAGGCATTTTCGGGAGATGGGACTCCTGTCAGATTGTACCTATGCTCAGTACTCTATATATATTGAGATCGGCTTATGTGACTGTGACGACGAGAATGCCTGGTGAATTGAGGCCAGGTTTAGAGGAAGATACTGAGCCTGTTGCTGCTCTTGCTTACTTGGCATTAAACTTTTCTGAAGGTCGAACAATAACTCTTCTTATTGTAATTTAGAAGATTGTACAGGTCGATGATATATCCAATCCATGAAAATAGTTTACAGTACAGTGAGATAATTCAAGTGTTTAGGCTGTAGGCTATGATATATGCCCCTGCGGACCTGTGGCAAGTTTGCCGAGGTTTCGGCATCTTCTCCACAAAATATGGAGACACCATCATTGACAACGCATTTTCAGCTACAGCAGATCTAAGCACTAGGTATGTAAATTAAAAATCTGTATGATAATCATTGCACAATTTTCCCTTTTGCTCTCCTGATCTTATCTCCAGTTTCTACTCTGCACATCCCTCAACTATACCCCGCCATCGCAAATCCCACAATATGTCTACCGGTACGCCCCTCAAAAACACATTGCTATCCTTTCCAACAGCTTCGACTCTCCTCATAACCATCAACCGACCTTCATCGCTCAACTGCCTCGATACCTTTACCCATAACGAGCTCGATCGGGTTTTCAGATGGTTTGACGCTGAACCCGGTCTTCGATGTGCCATCTTGACGGGTGTCGGGAGGAGTTTTTGTGCAGGCGCAGATCTCAAAGAGTGGGATTCCAATAATTCGTTATCTACTTCTGCCTCAAGTCAAGCTCGTTCATTACCAACATCTGGTTTCGGAGGTTTAAGTCGGAGAGGTGGAAAGAAACCTATCATATGTGCTGTGAACGGAATATGTTTTGGAGGTGGCTGTGAGATGATCATAAATGCGGATATGGTGATTGCAGAATCTCATGCTGTGTTTGCGTTGCCGGAGGTGAAGATTGGAGTTGTGGCCCTTGCTGGAGCATTGACCCGGTTAGTTCGGACGGTAGGAAAACAAAGAGCTATGGAAATGGCGTTAACGGGAAGAACGCTTGGGGCTGAAGAGGCGATGGAATGGGGATTGGTCAATCGGGTCGTAGGAACGGGGAAGAGTGTCGAGGAAGCAATCAAACTGGCGGAGCTGATAGCAGCAAATAGTCCAGACAGTGTTATTGTGAGTAGAGAAGGTATTAAGATGGGATGGGAAGGTGTTGGTGCGGAGGAAGGGACTCGATTGATTGAACAAAACTGGTATAGTAGGATGGACAAGGGGCCAAACATGAAGGAAGGAGTGAGGAGCTTCGTGGAGAAGAGGAAACCGAATTGGGTACCCAGTAAATTGTGATTTTGCGTTTTCTTTTTGTATTTAGCTAGTTTATATCCCCTCTGTTGAGCAGTCATAAATTGTATTTCATGAAACATCGCACATGCGCAATTTTCAGAGTGAACCTATCTCACCTCGTCTTCTTCCCTACAATGGATGGAATATACCTCGTATGGTATCTCATAGTTACCATTAGCTCAATACATTCCGCCCCTCCATGGCCTACCCAGTCTGTTTTCCTCCTTCAGATCCAACATATCGAGGTAACTAATCCATCCCTTCTCATGCCATTCCCTTAGATCACATCCTTCCTGGCCCACCTCCAATGCGATGGCGTTCACAGACAAATATCCCGTCTTGCCTTCTATCCACTCAGTTCGCTTCCCATCCACCTCTCCTTCCTTCGGACACATCCAAACCTCTCTTTCACCCTCTCCAACTTCCTCTCCGTCAACCTCGTTAACTCCGAGTTCCTTCAAATTTACCTTCCTTATTTCTCCATTTTGAAAATTCAATCCAGTTGCGAAAGGTCTCACACCACATATACCACAGAACCACCAATTAAGCTCTTTGTCAAAACATTGATAATTTCTCATTCCCTGATCCTGCCATCCACCTTGTTCATGCGGCATTCCGGTGGGACTTAGGAGCATGAAATCATTTGGAGAATCCGGAAGTCTGATATGGAAAAGACCCATTTTATGACAGGTGGTACAGTTGCATTTGCGGAGGCGCACGGTAGTTTTTGCAGAAGGCGTTGCTTCGATCACGGGTGGTGGAAGGCTCATGAAAATCACGAAGCGAATTAGTCCGCAGTGGCAGGAACCATGGTATGGTTTGCGGGTGGCTGTAGAGGTCGTCGTGTAAGTTGATGACATCTTGATAATTTAATGGAGACACGTGAGTAGCCTTTTTACCTAGAAATCTGTTATTTTATGATAGAGAATTGTATGTCTTTAAATTTGGAAAAATGCTTATATTCCGAATATATGTCAAAGGGGTGAATGCGACTTATACCCCGCAGTAATTGGATAAGAGTGCAGTGCAATATCCTTATCTTGCTACATTGCTCCTCACGTCATCAGTTGTCAAATGTAAGGCGTGAAGACGCGGTGAAAGGCGCATATCATGTATTTAATTAATTGCAAACGAATAACATTTCTAGTTACAATCCACCAAGTCAGCTGGTTTCACGATACGGGGGTTTGTGCCAATTTTGATGATGGATGCGCAATTGCGATAACAGCATTGCTCTTGATCGACCTACCTGGTTCTACCCCCCACTGTTGTGTATCCAGGAACATGGAACATGGAACATGGAACATATTCTATGTTTCATTATGGAGAAGATTAGTCTGGCCCATGCTTGCATTCGAACCAGAGGAAGTGGATCGGGGAGAAAGCAACAACGCAAAGAAGAGAAGTAGATAATAGGTGCAAATCGTCTGCATCATTTCGAAGAACAAAAGAGAGAGAAAAAGAAGTGCTTGCAGCATGAAAGCCCTCATCAGAGCAGGTGTCGTAATTCTTTCTCCCTTAACATTGATTTCTCACATCTTTAGCAACCGACCGTGTATTGCACCTTTTGATTTTGCCACCCTCTGCATCACGACGAAAGCCATTCATAAACTTCTCTATTGCATAAAAAATAACATTAACCAATCCGATCATGATGCCATGTTCTCATCCAGCTAAAGACGCCACTTTAACACTCGTTCGGAATGCCCTATCCCAAATGTCTCACCACCCGAATGTCCGTACGAACTGCGAGAGTCAGCTCTGAAGACCAGGAACACTTCACTGACTTATGAAAAACTCATGCTCCTCGTATCTCGATATGTAGTACACGAGACTATTTGTGCATGCTGACCTGCACGAGTTTAACGCCAAGCAATCGGCGACATGATTCTGTCACTGGGCGGATGTCCTGCTTAACACAGTTCTATGTTTTGTATCTCAAGAAACAACTGGTTATGATTATCTGGAGTATGAACCATTGTAATAATATTTGGAGCAATAAAGTTGAAGAGTGCAGACCAGATCACTAGATTGGTCATAAGCCTCTGTAGGAATTCATTCCATTACTCGGTTGCCCACGAAGGCGCCCTACTGTACTGCAGGTCTTAACTCATGCCATGCATACTGTACCTCATAGTGAGATCTACATAAAGGACTATCAGCATAAAAAACCGTGACCCGGTTTTTAATATACAGAGCAGTTTAACTTGGGCGTTCTTTGTATCTTTTTTCGTCCATCGCTTATGTCTCTGCGTAGAGTTCTTTTCTGTGTATTGAGAACAACATGAAACGGCCGAGATAGTTCTGTTGAATGCTCGTATGAGAAATTGAAATGTTGTAGCTAAAGAAGCATCATCGATCCTATCATTGTAACAATATGTTGCATGTTACCATTTCGCATCAGCTCAGAAATTCAATGCTTACCAGGCGCGGGGTAATTTAGCGCCTTGGCAATTCTCTTGTTTAGATGATCGCGTATGTCTTCTCCTGTCAAGAGATATATTGTGGTCATATCAAACCATTTGTTTTGCAAACCCATCACACCGCTCATCAGAAGAAGACTCACTCATAGGTTAAAGTAGGTAATAGGTAAGCTGAGTCAAATTTCGTCTCACCGGAGTCTAGATTTTGGCATTCTTCGTATGACCCAGACGCGACTCTCAGCTCATACACATTGAATCATCATAAGAGTCGAAGCCTCTCTTAATCTATCCTTAGATTCTGGAGGGCGCTTTGCTATACCCTGTTTCAATGGCTCTCAAACCAGATACCTCAATGGAGGGCACACCAGAATCATCTCAAGTCTCGGTGCTTTTCCTCGCATATGACACTTTCAACACACTTGATATTCATGGACCTCTTGACGTGCTAGGGAATGTCGCACTCAGCGCAGATCCTTTCAAACTTACAATCGCAGCTCAAAATGATATCATCACTTCAGCCGAAGGAGCAAAGATCCAACGTCACATCTCCTTCCTCACAGCCTTTGAAACCCTCGAGAATTATGATATTCTCATCCAACCCGGTGGTCTTTCTGACGATATCTTTCCTCATCTATATCCACATACAGATAGTACATTCTCAGACATGCTCAACATCATCAAAGAATTTTCACGACTTGGTCCATCATCTCGTTTACAGAGCCGGCGGATAATAATGTCAATATGTACCGGAGCACTCTTTCTTGGCTCTGCGGGTATATTCTCGGGTCTGAACGCTACGACGCATTTTCTCACTCTTCCGAAACTCAAAATTATCTGCGACGCATATACCGCGAAGAAGCCATCCTATATCCCAACAACTATCATACCGAATCCTGCTTCCTTAAATTTCAGATATGTGAAGGAACAATTGAGTTTAGACAAGAAAGTTAGGGTTATTAGCAGTGGAGGTATTAGCTGTGGGATTGATGCTACACTTTACCTGTTGGCCTTAGTGAAGGGAATATCGCCTGCTCTAGCTGTAGCAAAAATGATGCAATATGCTTGGAGAGAGATGCCATGATGGTTTATGAGTTGATGGTTCCCAGTAGTCTGGACTGCAGTGTGACAAAGATCGTTATTTCCTGGTATTGCTTGGTGCATGGGATACATTTAGCAAGTCAAATCTCCTCAGATTATTAAGTTATAATCAAAGCTCGACTGCTTTCCAGCTTGTTGCAAGATGTTAGTTCTTGACTATCATCCGAACATATGAAGACTATGTGCATTATCGGAATATTTTTGAAGAGTAAGTATAACTTTATTATTATTCTCTAGAACAAAGGCATAATCTTCATCGTTTAAGACATTTAGTATATATCGCTCGCCAGTTGATACTTCTATAGTAATAATCTCATATATTAATCACTCAAATATCAAAAATATAACTAGTATCACGGGGCAGGCGGGCTGGATAGGGTTCTAATAACTTTGCCCTAATCTGGCAAGGCTATACTGATTCGGGTAATAGGTTCAGATTGAGGATTAAGACGTAGCTCAAAGAGCTACAATACAGGATCTTCTGAGTTGAAGATATACGGAATTCTTACAGCGAGCTAGCCCGATCGGGCCCTAGCTCGCTTGCGCTCCGGTGCGAGCGCTCCTTTCGGTCCTCTCCGATAGGACCAGCATATCACGTGAGCTCACACCGTGACATTACCCCCCTCCTAAGAGTCGAGCTCCGTCGAGGCGGCACGTCACGGTTTACAATCTACAGGCAGGCGGGGCCCGGTCAAGCGGGACCGGGTTTGTCAGGGTATCTACGGTGGAAGTTGCGGATCAGTTCTTGTGCGTCTTCCAGGTAGCTCGCAGGTTCTTCGGTCGGCGTATCGTAGCCGACCCAACGGACAGTGTATTTCAGGCGAGGTCCTCCACGACCTCTTCTTTCCCAGCGGGAGTTCAGGATTTCGGCAACCTCAAAACGCTCGAGGCCGTCTACTTCTACAGGGGGTGGTGGCGGATTACGCTGCCCAGGAACAGGATCATCGTGTGCAGGATATAGCAGGTTGACGTGGAAAACAGGATGAATCTTCATCGAGGCCGGGAGCTCCAGTTTATAGGCATAGGGGCCTATCGGGTTCAGGATTTTGAAGGGCCCGAGGTTCTTCCAATCGAGCTTCTTCTGTGGGCGCAGGGTCTTGATGTTTCTGGCATTCAGCCAGACCAGGTCACCGGGCAGGTATCTACGGGCAGGGGAACGGCGGGCATCGGCATTCTTCGAGTATCGGGCTTGACTGGCAGTTAGTTCGGTCTGTAGGTGTGAGGAGATGGCTTCCATTTTAGCGACGAATTCTTCGGCATCTCGTACGGCAGGACGGTTACTCTGGGACGATGCGGGCTCGAAGCCCAGGCGGGGGTGGAACCCGTAGTTCGAGAAGAACGGGGTCATTCGGGTGCTTTCGGACCAGGCATTGTTGATAGAGAATTCGGCGAGTGGGAGCCACTCTGCCCAGTCGTCTTGCAGGTAGGCTACATACGACCGGAGGTATTGTTCCAGCATCGCATTAGCCCTCTCGGTTTGTCCGTCAGTTTCAGGATGGTAAGCGGTTGAAAGCTTGGCGGCTACGCCCAAGCGCTTGCAGATATGTTTCCAGAATTCAGAGACGAATTGAGCTCCACGATCAGATATAATGGTCAGGGGTAAGCCGTGGAGCTTCCAGATATTCTTCCGGAACAGGCGGGCGACCTCTTCGGAGTTGCAGGTACCATAGCAGGGCAAGAAATGTTTCATTTTCGTCAATCGGTCGACTACTACCATAATAGCATCGAAACCGGTACTTTCGGGCAGGTGCGTAATGAAATCTATTGAGATATCTTGCCAAGCTCTCTGCGGGATCGGGAGCGGGCGGAGAACTCCCTCCTGGCCTCTGCGATTCGGGGCAGCGCGGTGGCAACTATGGCAGTTACGGACCCACTGCGTAACATAATCGTAGTATCCAGGCCAGTAGTAGTTTCGGGACAGTAATTCGAAGGTTCGGGTACGGTGCGGGTGACCAGCGGCGGGCGATTCGTGGTACAGGCGGAGCAGGTAGGTTTTCAGGGGGTCGTGGTCGGGAACGTATAGTTTCCCTCGGTAGTACAGCAGGTTGTTGTTTTCGGTACACTCGGCAAGAGTGATTTTCGGGTGTTTCGGGGATCCCTCTCGTAGGGATTTCAGGACAGATTCGGGTACAGGGTCGGCTTGGTAGCCTTCGTGGAACAGGGTAAGCAGGTCGGCAGGAAGGTTTAGAGGGTTTTCTGGGTCCTCTAGTCGTATCGCAGGGTTGGGTACAGATATGGCACGTGGGATTGCAGGCTCTATAACTTTGCCATTTTCTGGTAAAGTTACGGTATCGTCGGAATCCAAGTGGTCGGTGGTGTCGGTAGGGTCGGGGTTTCTCTGGCTACGGGTGGTTACAGCGAAGCGTACTCTCTTGGCAATCTTGGGTTCGATTAGGGTAACAGCAGCGGGAAACAGGTCGGGATCCAGGTTCTCTCGTTTCAGGATAGTACGGCTTTGGTGCAGGAGGCGTTCATCCCCCTCCTTAGGGAGATCTTCTGACCTCCTGGTCAGCGCGTCGGGTTTGGCACCTAGCTTTCCGGGGCGATAGGTGATTCGGAAATTAAATCGAGACAGAAATTCGGACCAGCGGGCTTGACGGCGGTTCAATAGCTTCGTTGTGGTAAAGTATTCCAGATTCCTATGATCGGTGATCACTTGAATTGGTGATGCGGCGCCTTCCAACTCGGGACGCCATTCTTCGAAGCAACGGATAATAGCTAGCAGTTCTTTGTCGTAAATCTCGTAGTTGCATTCAGCTGCCGAGTGTTTTTTAGAGAAGAATGCAACAGGTCTAAGTATTCCATCATCGTTGTATTGGGAGAGTACTCCGGCGGATACGTAATCGGAGGCATCGGTTTCTACGATCACTTCCTTTTCCCAATCGAAGGAAGCCAGGACAGGTGCTTCGGTAAACGCTCGCTTCAATCGGTCGAACGCTTCTTGACAGGCAGGGCTCCACAGGAACGGAACATTCTTTCTGGTCAGGTCTACCATCGGGTTGATAATCTTCGAAAAATCTCTAATAAACCGTCGGTAAAAGTTCGAAAACCCAATGAATGCTTGGACGTCGGTTACGCTAGCAGGCGGTTTCCAATCCACGATTGTTCGGATTTTCTCTGGGTCCATTCGGATACCATCGCTTCCTACAATAAGGCCTAGGAACTTGGTTTCGGATTTCAGGAATTCGCACTTTTCGAATTTAGCGAACAAACCGGCTTCCCGCAGTGCTTGCAGGACCTTCTGGACATGACGGACGTGTTCCTCTCGGGTTCGGCTGTATATCAGAATGTCATCCAGGTAAGCGGTGCAAAATACGTCCAAGTATCCTCGCAGGGAATCGTTGATAAACCTCTGAAAGGTTGCGGGGGCCCCTGTCAGCCCGAACGGCATGACTAAGGATTCGAACAGTCCGAATCGGGTACGGAACGCAGTCAGGTATTCCTGCCCTTCTTTCACTCTTATATTGTTGAAGGCAGAGATGATATCGATCTTACTGAAATACTTCATTCCTTTCAGATTGTTCAGAGATTCTTTCGTTAATGGCAAGGGGTATCGATCCTTGACCGACAAGTTGTTCAAAGCGCGGTAATCTACACAAAATCGGAGGCCTCCATCGGCCTTCTTGACAAACAAAACAGGGGAAGCGGCGGGGGAGGAGCTCGGCCGGATGAACCCTTTTCTAAGATTCTCTTCCAGCCATTCTTTCAGGGCTTCTAATTCGGGCGGGACATGGAGTACAAGGCGCCGAAAGGAGGAACAGCTCCTTCTTTAAGACGGATCTCATGGTCGTACGGTCGATGAGGGGGTAGCTTCTCTGCGTTCTTTGGGGAGAAGACATCTTTCCAATTTCGGAACTCGGGTAATAGGTCTTTGGGGTCGAATACCTTCTTCTTCTTATTTAGAATATCATCGATTTGTTCGATCGATATCTGGAACATTTCATATTTCCGGCGGGCGTAAGCCGAACAGGCTCTCAGGGAGATCGCGGCTATATCCTTATTCTTTAACCCTTCGGGGCGGGCAGGCAGGTGTACAGGTCGGGCTTTTGGAGGAACATCTGGCAGAGCTTTTATGCGGGACGGGCGGGACGGAGTGTTACAAAATTCGTAGCAAAACGAGCTATCGAACTGGAACGAGTTTGTCGCGAAGTCGACACGGGGGTTGTGTTTCTTAAGCCAAGCTATCCCCAGCACAATAGGATAGTGGGCTAGCTCGGTTACATACAAAACGATCTTCTTCTCGATATGATCGTTGATTCTGAGTCCTACTCGGATGTAGGAGGTAACTCGATTGTCGGGCAGGGTGTTTCCGTCGAATCCTATGACTTCGAACGCCGTAGACAGTTGGTGTACTGGTATTTTCTGGGAAGACACCCAACTTCGATCTGCGAAGGCAATTCCTTCGCATCCGCTATCGACCATAGCGTATGTCGGGAGGGTGTCTTTTTCCAAGAGCAGGGTGACGGGTAGAATCATCAGATCCGCACGATTGTTTAGTTCATCTTCCAAAGGAAGGCCATGAGTAGCAGCAGCAGATAAACGGAGGGTACGCGGAGGATCGTCCTGATCGCGGTTTAGGTCAGGCGTATCCCGTTTCCCGAATTGATTGAGCTAGTCGGCGAGCGGGGAGGAGAGCGAGGTGGGGAACGGATAGGGACTCGGCCCCTCGGAGGACTGTTCGGTACAGGGCTGGTTCTCGTAGGGCTGGTTGTAGTAGTGGTAACTCGGAGTTGAACAGGACGGGTATCGGGGTGCGGGCAGTCTCGTATCAGGTGGCTGGCAGAGCCGCAGCGATAGCATTCGCCGCGTTCCCGCCGCGAACCCAGGTTCCTAGCAGTGTATTCCTTTTTCCTAAGCTCAGGTCCATTGGGTCTCCAGGAGTAGACTTCGGGCTAGCGAGTCGTAGAGGCGGAGCAGCGATTATTCTCCGGGATGAAGTTTCGGAAGCGATAGGACGAATACGGTGGACTTGTTGTTGGTGTTGACGGAATCGGTTATCGAGTTGTTGTAGGTGGTTAGCGTATTGACGAAATTCACGGGTCGGAGCGGGGTTATGCAACAGCATGTCTTGTAGTTCGCGAGAGATTCCTTGAAATAGGAGCGGGGTTAGAGCATCATCAGGCATCTCTCCTTCTAGGGCGAGTCTCTGGAATTCCGCGAAGAAGGTGCTAAAATCGAGGTGTCTTTGCTTCAGTACATATAGTTTATTCTGTGCGTTTTGTGTTCGATCAGGATCCCCAAAGGCGTTTTCGAGATATTCGAGGAGTGCGGTATAGTCGGTGAACTGAGGAATCCCACGGGAGATCTTAGGTAGTATAAGCTCGTATGCCTTTCCAGTAAGTCTTCCAGCAGTGTAAGTCAAGCGGGCAGAAGTCGTCGGGAATCTATCATTATTCGCATTCAATTTTCCGTGTATCTGTTGAACGAATCTGCGCAGGTCGGAGCGGGTGCCATCAAACTCTTTCGGATCGGGGATGCGCTCACTCAATCGAGTGGTCGGAGCAGGTACAGTAGGTTCGGGGACAGAGTCAGCGGGAGTTTCGGGGGATACGGTTTCCAAACGAGCAGGTATAGTAGGCGTGGATTCGGCAAGGCGATCGAGTAGACGGGCGTTTTGAGTAGCAACCTGCTCGTGCAGAGCGGCTTGAATACGTTCGCGGACTAGGGATTCGGAAATTTCGCGTTCGAGCGATCTGTTGGTCTCCTCCAGCTCGGCATAATACGCAGATGCCGACTGGAGGTATTGGTACCAAACCTGGGGGTCCTCCGATACAGAAGCGCCAAATTCCGAGGAGTCCCCAGGCCGGCCAGGCGGGTGCGGAGCAGTCATCGCGAAAGCGATATTTTAATGGGTAGGAGCTACGTAGTATCACGGGGCAGGCGGGCTGGATAGGGTTCTAATAACTTTGCCCTAATCTGGCAAGGCTATACTGATTCGGGTAATAGGTTCAGATTGAGGATTAAGACGTAGCTCAAAGAGCTACAATACAGGATCTTCTGAGTTGAAGATATACGGAATTCTTACAGCGAGCTAGCCCGATCGGGCCCTAGCTCGCTTGCGCTCCGGTGCGAGCGCTCCTTTCGGTCCTCTCCGATAGGACCAGCATATCACGTGAGCTCACACCGTGACAACTAATATTATCTCAAATAGCATTTTTGATATTTAAATATTTTATTTTTAATTTATTTTTTTGAGAAAGTTAATAGATTAAAAAGGTTACAAGAGTTGAAAAGATTCTAGAGATTCTAGAGATTCAAATCATTTTTTTTTTTCAAAAAAAAAAATAAAACTTTTAAAACTTTCAAAACATTCAAAACGTTCAAAACTCCAAAAAGAATTTTTGATATTTGAGACATGAATATGGAATATTATCATGTAGGGTTATTATTGATATTTCTATAATGGCCTTGTATATATCCCAATACTCTTATCCGTCCCATTGCTCCAAATTATATAGCTGCCGTCTATTCCGCCGCAAAATACATCAAACGCTAAAATTCCAAATTCCCAGTTTAATGACTATAATCTCCTCTGATATAAGCTGGAGGTAAAGTAGAAGGAGTAGTTACACGGTTTTCCTCATCAACCAAATCATCTGCCTCATTTTCTGGCGCTTCCTCGTCTGAGTCATATCCCCTATATGATGGTGCGTGTGAATACGCTGGCGGTGGGGTCACAAACCCTGGAGTTACTGGATCTGGTCTCCTTGTCGGCATCGAGCGGTAATCAGCTGTGTTTTGGAAGACAGGAAGTGTCGCAACTTCCCTTCTCAATTCCTCGTTATTCATTTCTGCGTTTGCTCTTGCTGTTGTGATCGTAGTAGATTCTCGATATTGTTCCTCATTACTTCCAGTAGCCATTGCATGCTGAGTTCCAGAGTTTTGCTGGAAGATAGGAAATGAGGCTACTTGTCGACTCACTTCCTCATCTATCGTCATTGGTCCTGCTGATCGACTGGGTCGACGAAGACGAGCTGGTGGGGGACTAGGTAGATTATTCGCGAAGATAGGATATCTTGAGACTGCTCGTTGTACCTCACTATCTACTCTTTGCATCATGTCTGCAAAACTTTCGCCAGGCCGTAATGTGTATACAGAATCTGACTGTTGAATAGGACGTGAGACGACCCGACTGCCAATATCAGTGGGAACATAGCTTTCCTGAAATCTCAGGGGTCTGTCGTTACTTGTTCTTGCTTGTCGAACTTCTGGCTCAACTCTCGCACCAAGTGCCGCTCTTGCTGCCCCAATCTGACCGGTTGGTCGGTAGTAGCTTGGAATTCTTGGACTTTCTGTTGTACATTCTTCTTCGATTGGTGAACTTCTGGGAGCTGGAGTAATCGTAGCACCCAATGCAGCTCTTGCAGCGCCCATTTCTCCTGTCGGTTTCGGTCTATGGGAATAGACTGGGTATAAAACGCGAGTATCATTTCGTAATTTTCCCGATCGTGTTGTCGATGTTCGTGATAAGGGTCGTTGGGTATAGTGATCTCTTGTTTGTTCGAGCCTTCTATTGATAGCGATTAGACACGAGACAATAAGGAAAACAACAACCATCACACCGAGCGGTATGGCTAATATCCATGTTTTAGCGCTATCTTGAGACTGTCTATCTGAAGTAATTTTCTCCGAACGAGTATGAATATTTTTGTTTGGGTATTGATGTGGCGTTTGTCCAAGTATAGTGGTCATCATTCTGAAGACTGACTGTACCATTTCTTGAATCACAACCACCTCTGAACGTTCGGGCTCCCCTGGAATGTACATTCTGGTTGAAAGGGCAACTGCGATGCTAGTCACAATCTGAATTGTGCTTCAAAGATCTATTGGAAAGTTTCAGCTAGATATTGGAGCTTGAATACCATTTACAACTTTTCAATTTGTTCATAGAATTTCTTATAGAATTCAAAAGAAATCGCACAAGTAGGGGACCATGGACCCTTCTTATACTTCATTCTGCTGGTTCGCCATATCAGTCAGAGTTTATAGCGTTTATTCTGACGGTCCCAAGTATCAGCTACTTTCTCAGTCGTATCAAAAAGTACAGTCTGACTTGACGCTACCCTATGATGATCGCCTAGTCCAAACCAAAAGTGGCAAGACACAAAGCTTATTTCGAGTTCGGTTACCTTAAAGTTAGATCTAGCACCTTATCTTTGGGTTTAGTACACTTCAATCACACGCCGTTGATTGGTGATCTCTTATAGGTCTTAGATGACTTCAATTTTGGACATGTGGCAATTGATTTGAACTTTTTATAAGGTTTCCAGTGCTCATATATCTTTCATCTTGGGGAAAGTATGATGCGGACAATGGATGAATATAATCATGAAGAATACTCTAAACTGTTCTATGGGTCATAAAGAGGAATCAGAGCCTCAATAAAAGAAAGCTCAATTCCCAATCAATGATGTCAGTTCCAAGCAAGTGAGGCTAGTATATCTAGTTAGTTGCTGCTAGTTAATTCCCAAGTGGATCATTTAGAGTCTAGACTTGCACATGACTTGCATAACCGAAAATTCCGATTGCGGAAGATTTGGCTTGGCTTGCACTCATACCATAAAATGATTCCAAAATTTGGAAGATCAAATAGATAAAGTTGATGATGAGGTAAAGTGAACGGTCATTTTTGATAAACAGATCATGGTTTTCTTTCTTTTCTCGGATTATCAAGATAGATGAGATTGTCCCAGTGTATCAATATCCATATCATTCTTCAATGATGGCGGCGTGCTGACATACTTGATTCCACCCCGCGCTTAGCTTAAGTCTGCTTCAAAGTCTAGCGTGAACCACCCAGGAATTGTGGGGATGCAAAGACGTGTAGTTGGCCGTTGAGGACTATCGGCATTGCCAATGCTTGGTTATTGCTAATATATCCATAAGAGAAGTGTTCCTTTATCCCTAGCGGAGATTTTGGTATATTATTATGTAGACAATGAGGATTGAAGAAAAAAATTGTATCCGGAAGTCCAAATCATGGTACACCGAAATACACATTCAAATCGTAGTACTCGAGGATACATATTCGATGAACTCTTAATCTTCAACTTGTCATCTCATCTAGCTTTCATGAATGTCGCGTTCTTCGAGGGACTAACAGCACTCCGATAAACTTGAACAACGAAAGAGACCAGGCTCAAGTTTTCACCCATGATTATATAATATCAACTTTGTTCCGAGTAACATCGTATCGGAGTCTTCGGTAAACATCGTTGGATCCAAGCATACAAGGTACATCCTAAAATCGTCTAGGAGGCTCCAGCTCTAAATATAGCGGTGCAATAGTTTTTAACTACCAAGTTGATCACCACTCCGCTCCGCCAATATCGGACCTCCGACTCGGTTTCATGGAGTACCTAGGTGAAGATAGGAATTTGCAACCAAGGACACTGTGATCGCCATTACTAGCGTCAAGCTACTGGATTGATAGGAGGGTTTTGGCACTTTTTAGGATAATAGTGTATAAGAAGAATAAGACGTGCAACATTTCTATAAAATAAAAACAAAATTTATCGTTGCGTTATCACCTCGTCTGATACTCAGGTAGCTTTGTACTCTAAAATATACTATTAGTAAAGGGAACCCTAAGTCTTATGTCCGTCGGAATCTCCCTCAAAAACACGGACATGCAGATGTGCAACATCACCCATATTTGATCCTCATTGTGTACCCTGGTATGCCTAATTGACTCATCTGGGTATCACTATGCCGTCATAACCTTATAATTCTATGGCGTCTCCGTACACAGATTCTTGTTTCACATTAACCTTTAGGCCCCTCGGCAAGACTTTACAGTGAGTATTCTAGGTAGGTTTACCATAGTCTTCGGGATACTCTGCAATGGTGATGATTGCCGAGGGGTGGAAAGAACTAGCGATGGATATTTCTTTAATCTGAAGGATTCTTAGGACCACCCTTGTAATCTCAGGTTGCAGATGTGCAACATTCACACTATTTGAAGCTTCACCGAATCATATATCGATATAGCTTCAGGTTTCTAGATATACATCATACTAAAGCCCTCTTAATTCTCGTGCTTGTTAGGATCTTCTTGTAAAACGAAGATCCAGACGTGCAACTTGAATCTTTAAGCGGTATGGCTGGAGAGTGTGCAGTAAAATCAGAGTATAGGCCAGTAGATCAGTGACGGTCTCTTCATGGCCGGGGAATCAGGATGGACTATCTCAAATTCTCGTTGGGATCTCCTTGCAAAAAACGAAGCTCTAGACGTGCAACATAAATCTCTAAGTAGCATGATTGGACATTATCCAGGAAGATTGGAACTCAAGCTAGTAGGTCAATGCCATTTGTTTGTAGCGGGGGAACGAGAAGGAGGAGATCCAAAAGTCTTGTTGGGGGTATATCTTGCAATTCCAAATCACAGATGTGCAACATAAATCTCTAGGTAGCATTGATTGGAGAATGTCCAGGGGAGGGTCAAATATGAGCTAGTAGATCAGTGCCAGATGTTCCCATTACCAGAGAATTAGGAGACTATCTCAAAGTCTAGGAGGGGTACACCTGGTAATTTCAATTTACAGACGTGCAACATAAATCTCAGGGTACTATCATTGGACAGTATGCAGGAAGATAGAAGTACAAGCTAGTAGATCAATGCCACTCCTTCCATCATAGGAGAACTAGGAGGATACTATTCCAAAGTCATGTTGGGATAACACCTCGCATTCTCGGTTTACAGACGTGCAACAAATTCCCACATTTCAGCGCCTTATTCATCATCGAGCAAGATGCCATTGGCTTTCAATCATTACACACTAAGCTTTTCTAGCATCTCTTCCTCATCCTCTGTATATTCCTCAAAGAAATATTCCCTCTCCCCTTAAGGTCTCTTAAGATCACTATACATATCCCCCGAATCAAAAACTGGATTGGGGGCACTACATTCGAAACCCGCGTCCCCTTTCTTCTTGACAAGTATCATTCTTCTACTTTTTCTGAAAACCATCAAGAAGTCTATATGTTAGAAAAGGCCCTGGTCCAAGAACTATGCGCGCCTCCCTTACCAAGACAAGCGAGGAACTGAGTGAAGACAACAGACTTCATACACATCATCACTTAGAATTGGAAATTTAATGACCGAACCAGAAAACTGTCGACAAGTAAAAGATAAACCATTAAAATATGACGCTTGCGACTTAGACGAAAGCAAGCAAAAGTTCAGAAAAACTTGAAATACATCTCCATGCCTGTCCAGGCCTCAAATTCAAATTCATATATACCACGATACATGCAACCCGCGCCCTTTCAGTCTTCACTTCCCTCTTCTCGGCCCGTTCCATAGTCTTAAAACTTTCCACCGTCTAATCATTAAACGCCCTATCTTCAATCCTGTCCAATATTGCAACCATAGTTCATAAACCATAACCCAGAAAACTCTCATCCTCATTCCGCAAAACAAGAACCACAGCCCGCCACACATTGCCATGCATCCATAAAATCATATCCGTATTCACATTCTTGTCTACAGTAAGTTGCAAACCAACTAAGCCTGCCAAATAAAAATCCCGCCCCTCTAGATACATTTCACAGCATAAAATTTCCCTATCTTTCCATTCAACGACCTGTCATAAAAATTTAATATCAATACTTGAATTGATGCCTACCTAGGTATCAATCTATCTATCTTCCACATCCATTTATCTCACCTGACCCTCAGCCATCCTCAGCCACTCGACAGATGAAGGAAGAACAAAAAGCTACCTGCGCCCTTCCGAAGCCACGCCAACAATACAATTCGTACAAGACAGGTGTCCAGTTACCAAGTACTATTACCACGCATGCACTCTTTCGCAAATCTCCCCCAAATGTAAAAAAAACCATCCACCGTTTCACTCGACATCTTAACCGATGTTGGCCGCCTACATACTTCCCAAAGTAAATGCTCTCTTTACCACCCAACCTCACTCCCAGTCCTAGTCGAAGCGAACGAATCCTGAGTTTCCCACAATTGCCAGAAGAAAAAAAGACAGTCAGAAAAAAAATCCTTAACGCATCGCGTCGCATCACATCTCAAATTTCCCATTTTCTTATCACTTCATTCTTCGATTTCGAATTGAGTATCATTTTGGTATCAATTATTTTAGATGGTGATTAAGCACTTCCACCATCACGACTCTTTCGATAGCTGGCCTGCGTAGAAACACTTCATCAGCTAACTGAACTGTGATATTCTAACAAGATAACTGCTACATGCCTCAAGAATTCTAGGAGCGGAAAAAAAGAAAGAAAAGGATTAGGCAGAAAATGCCTCGGAACGTCTCACTTCTTGTTCAACTTGAAGACCGTCAACAACAGGGGCGAGTTCACTAAGAATTTCGTATGCCTTCTTATGGTATTCGAGTTGAGCGGCGATAAGATCAGCAAGGTTTCGGAGTGGTTCAGGGGTATCGAGGACCTGGATTCACGTATTAGCTTGATCCCTATAAAATGAGCCCAAAAAACAGCACTTAACATTCTTCATGACACCAACAGCTTCTTCAGTTTGTCCAACAAATTCATCCTCTGCTTGTTCAATCTCAACTCTAGCTTCCTCACTCTGAATCTCATCTTCATGACCATCGTGTTGAGGAGCTGCTTGACCAGGTAAATGCCATCCTGGATTCTTAGCCTTCGCCTTTGCAGCATCAAGCAATAATCTCGAATTCTCCACACTTTTTCTAGCGCGAGTCGCAAACATCAAATTAGTATTCAACGTTGTAGACCAGCCTGCGATGAAACGACTTTGGATTTGGCTATCTTGTGCAAGTCTTGCTTCCCCAACACGTTCTTCTGCAAGAGCATATTTCTCAAGGGCAGTAGCTAAAGGATCTTCATTTCCAGAGGAATTTTGTTGTTGAAGAATTTGGCTAGATGCCAAGGCAGCGCGAGCAATAGCATGATTGAAGGTTTTGGGTTGTGGTTTTGCGGATGGAGGGGCTGTAAGAGCAGCTTGAGCTTCGGCTGGGGAGGTAGCAGAGGAGAGGAGTTGGACTTTTTCGGAAACAGTGCGGCCGAGGTCGTTGAACTATTGGTAAACAATAGATTAGCAAATATTTTATAATCAGTAGGTTTGAGAAAAAGATTGATGATGTTATCATCATGGGGACAAGCCCCCCATTCCCCGTAAGTCGCTGCGCTCGAACATTGCCCCCAAATAGTAAGCCCCCGCGGCAGCGGGCCTCGGAGAGCCAGCGGAGCGTCATTTGCTATTCTTGAATTGTATGTTGAACGTATAGATAGAAAAGAACCTACCGATTCCGACAAATTTTGCGGGTAGTCATAGCCCTCATGGGAGAAATTCGAAGTAACAGATAGCATCTTCTGATGCACCTTCTTCAACGCATCGACCCTTTTCTCCAACTCAATATAATCGGGAGGGAGTTGTGTCTATCATAACATAACATTTAGTATTAATTCACGATTTTCTTCCTTTCCCTTCACAGCGCATGATTAAATCGAATCACCTTATCATCAGACTGGCCCAATCTCTCTTTGACATATTGTTGGGTTCGAGCTGCGAAGGGCGTGAATGAAGCTCTATTGATTGAGGTATTAAATTAGCTTCGGTGTAAATAAACCACAATGACATATATCTGGAAGGAAGGGAGTAAAGAACTTGATACTTACGAGACATTCTTGCCAAAGGCTTGGAACTTGGAGAAATCCATGTTCATTTACTGTATTGTATTGTATGTATGTTTATTGTGATCGAATATGCGCTCTTGTTCTTAGGATTATTGAATACCTGGTAGGTTTTGTTTAATTATGAGGCAGTAAAGGTTGATGTTGCGACTGCACATGGGAAAGTGACAGCTTGATTTACAAAGGTTTCGCCTAAATTAATCTTCACGTGAGAACTGATAACAATGGAATGGAAACTGGGTATGAGTGCAATCTGAAATGTTTCGTTTCAGATTGAAACGAACTCTTGACGGGGCAAATTTGGAATAATCCTTCACGATAACCAGTTCTATTCATATTTCACCTGAAGTTCTGTTTACTGGGTGCTATATCAAATTGTTCGTCAGCATTCAAAGAAAACCCTTATTTACTGTGAAACCCCTCATAGCGAGATTCAATCTTATCAGCCAAGTAAATGCTGCCGGTAGTTAATATTCGAGGGTATCTTCAAGTGTAACTACATGGATCCACAAGGACTTTTCGGATAGCGTAGTCCGAATCAGCTACCTGTGTATATCACTTCCCGCTCTGACAACATCCGCCAACGTCCGATTCACCCCTCAACGAATTCCCATCTCGCTTCACCAGCCTAAGGTGGTCCAAAATCATTCGGGCACCCAACGTCCAAGAATCCCGAATTACATGTTTGATAAGTGTGATGCCGATCACAAAACGATCTTTACTTCAATATTTAAAGTTACTCTTACCATCTAGGTTGGGATGATGTAGTGTATCAAGCATTTTGCCGAAACTTGTCCGCTTCCAAGGGATTCATCGTGTGTTGGCGATTGCGAGACACACCTTGGTCTGGTCCGTAGGCACCCCATAAGTATATCAAGCTCCACACTATCCAATCCTCCAACACTTATGTATGAAGTTCAATCCTGAACTCCCTGTTTATCCGCCCAAGAAGGTTCAATGACCTTGCAAACAGCTTCGTAGTCTTGGAATGTTTGCTGATCCATGTTTTCTTCCGGCGTCGTGAAGAACATCGTCCAATTCGTATCAGCCAGTTTTAACGTAGCTCTACTGCGTTCAAAATACCATTTGTTTACTGGATTATCCTGTCGTCTCATCAATACGAAGCACAAAATTAAGACCACGGATTCATGATATTTCTTACCTTACGACTTCTCCAACAAACACCGCCAGGAAAACAATCTCTCACCATAGATTTAAAAACCACATCTGCAACACCGCCCGATCCCTGACTTCTCTTTAAGACGGCAAATTTGTCAAGATATGGCACCATTCGCTTACGGCTTTCTTCACTTCCATCGTCTGGAACACCGGGTGGTAGTTCCCAGGTCAGTAATGCTCCTCCTTCGTATTCGCCTGCAATAATGACTCCAGCTATACGATTATTGACACGCCTTAAATAATCTTGAACATCTAATTTCTTATTGAAAGAGTCCTCGATCAAATGTACTAGACGGGGTAGATCAATTTGAGGATCAGTTAAGCTTATCTGTGGAACGCCAGCGATAGGTGGTTGCCAAGGGGTAGTTTTTGGATCGGGAAAAATGGTTACTGGCATTCCATGTTTTGCAAAAGTGGCTGGGGCCATTTTAGTTGATGGTGTAAATGGTTCGTTCTTATCCATGGGGCCTAGTCTTCCAACAGGAAGGGATGAAGAGAATGCTGGCTTGTCGGTAAGTAGGTTGTGAATCAATGGATTTCGTTGTCGTCGTGTACCAACCCCAGCGGCCTTGAATTCGTGTTGCTTTCCGGAATTCGCGGCTTCATCGGGCGTAGTTATCAAAGCAGAAGAGCTAGGAGGCAATACGGCCAAAGCACTTCGAACTAGTTCCAAATTATCCAAATGGAATTTCATTCTTTGATCTTGCTGTGTAGGTGAACCGCTTTGCTGCGGGGATGAATTTTTAAGCTCGCCAGATTTTTGTTCGGTAAAGCTGGAAAGGGGGATATCATCTCCGACATTAGAATTCGAGCCTACTTGTGTACGTGTTGGTAGCTTGGATGTTTCGCTATACAATCCTCCTGTTTTTATGAGATCTTGCTTCGCCAGCTCATATTCTTGTTCCATATTCAGAAATACGTGATAACCGTTTTTGCGGTCCGAAGCTGGAATGCCCCCAAGAGGATCGATCAGAATTAGACGATCAAGTGATACCTCATTTTGTAAGGCTTGTAAGTGCTCTTTGACAACATTAGGATGTTCATCCGGTGATTGCGGAGGCAAGATTCCAGCAAATTCTCGGGTCAACGCCATGACAACGTCACTAGCGGTGGTTGATACTGCCGTTTGAGTAGCATCCGTATGCCCTATTGAAGGTAACACAGGGAGTACTCCTCGTCTCAATGGCGTCATCAACAACTCCCTAAATGTGACATGCACTCCGCCCTTCAGGTACGGTTGTTGCTCGACATCAGATCCATTTTCTGCAATTCCTATCACATTGTCCACTAGCCGTGCTTCTGTCCCACTAGCATCAATGGCAGTCACAACACGAGCGGCTTGCTCTTTAACCCGATCCCTCCATTCGCTTTTAGATACCTTCAGGTGGGTATCGGTTCCATCCTCGCAATCCACCACAACAGTACTGACTAGTCCCAGTCTACACAGTTTCGATAAAGTTTTCCCAATCCCATTCAATGTTTCGTCATCTAGCAGTTGTGGAGCTCTAATTTTCACTAAAGCAACATGTAAAATGGAGCCGCCCAATGTGGTTTGTGAGACTGCTGGTTGCTGTACAAACTTTGGACTTTCTGCCACGGCCCTTGTCGCTGTATAAATGCTTCCCAGGTTTACTCCATTCTCATTTGTGTTTTGTTGGACAGGGTCTTGAGATTTCGGCTTTGCGGGAGAAGTATTTAGAGGTTTGAAGTTTTGAATATAAGAGCGAGCTTCGCGTTTAGTTGCGGAAGAACCAAGGACCGACAGAAAGAAGTCCTGAAATTTGTAAGTATTCAATTGAATGGTTCGATAGAATATATCCCACTCTATCAATAGCTTTAGCCTTCTTCTTGGCTTGATGTTGATTCGAAAGCTTTTCGCAAGTTTCTTTGGCCAATTCTTCTCTCACTTTACTAGCTGCAGATTGATTGGAAGTATATGTACGTCTCCTATCACTACTTTGAACAAAATAGTTCCCATGTTTTGTTAATGATTGAATCTTTGTAGAGTGTTAGTAAATGTCTCACTATGGATATAACCATTTGACTCACGTTATGACCAGCCGCTTCTTTGCCCTTTTTCAAGGCTAAATTTTGCAATAACATATTGCATATTGATTTGAATTATTCAGAAGAAATCATTCGAAAGCAATGGAAGAGGGAAAATATTGGAATCATAATTTTCCAAAGTGAAGATAAATTGTTGAGAATAATAACAAAGAGAGAGAGGCATTTTCATTATATGAAGTAATAGATAATATGTGCTTGTGCGAAAGTCGATTCATATCTCCACACCATTCATCCGATAACGCTTTTCGATAAACGCGAACGGGGATAGGAAGCTCACACGTGAAAGTGTGAAAATGGAAAAAAACATTATTAATAGAACTAAGAAGTAAACTTTTATGGCTCATTTCGAGTTGGCGTCATATAAAAAAAAAGATCTTATCTGATGAAATTAAATCATAAGGCTGTACAGGCGAGACAGGGTGTGCAAAAAATACTTGGAATCAGATATCTAGTCTTGTATGATGGTTCCTCTTTGAAGAGATAATACTGGTACCTTGTAGATATACATTAATTTCGAAATACCCAGACAATTTTTCTGGGTAGAATGATTTTAAGATCTTGCCTACGAGTAGGTAAAAGTAATAGTCGGCTCTCCACCAGCATGCGATGCTGCGCTGGGCCACTGCCGTGGAGGCTCTTTCGCTTCGCTCCAGGGGAAAAAGTATATTTAAACTGCATGCTAGGTAATGAATGCTGTAGTAGATCGAACGCGACATGCAAAGGCATACCTAGGTACTGGTAGCCGGTAGTCTAAAATAGATTGTCTCCACGGCAGTGACCGTCGCAGAGCCAGCGGAGCGTCATTTGCAAGTGTGCCTAAGGTACCGATACTGCAAATATCTTGGTTTTTACTTATGGAAAGTATACGTTCTTCTCGGAATTACGTTGTACACATTGCACTTGGTTGTTCTTTTACAATGCTCTACCAACACTCACATCACAAAGGGTAAAAGCACACGCCGCTCTTCCAACAAAACAAGTATGAAGGACTGAAGGACTAGTATCAGGGTTACAATCAGCGTGCAAAGTCGGCGTTTATCCCAAAAGTCTTCCTTTGCTTTGTCAACAGTGGGACCAAACGGCTTCATTCCGACCTAGGTGATAGTTGTAACTCCGATATAGTATCGCAATCTACCTAGTATGTCATCATACATCCAATATCGGGACCGAATGGTTTGGTATGTATCTTCATAAATGCTCATGAAAGACGATCCAAATCCCAGTTGAGAGAACAATTTCACAATTTCACACTTTATCATTTACACATTATCGTATTTTACTTCGTACATTCCCGTATCTTTCGAACCACACAGAACTCATCCAAAATGGGTCTTCAATTGGCATGGATTGGTCTTGGAAACATGGGTAGAGTCAGTTCCCCAAAACTACCTACCCCGCAACTTCATTCAAGAAGATAGACGATAGCTAACACAAATATCACAGGGAATGTGCAAGAACCTCGTCGAGAAAGGAAACCTCGATAATCCCCTCATAATCTTCAACCGCACGACCAAACGTGCAGAAGATCTAAGCTCTTCCCTCCCATCCGGCAAATCCACGGTCTCTTCTTCCATTACCGATCTTGTCTCAAAATCCGATATCATTTTCACATGTGTAGGAGATGATGCTGCTATTAACGAGACAATCGAGGCCGGAATCAAGAATGGCGCTGCTGGAAAACTTTTCGTAGATTGTTCAACTGTTCATCCAGATACCACTGAAGATTTGGCCACGAGGATTGGTGCTGCTGGAGGTGATTTTGTTGCATGCCCTGTTTTTGGTGCTCCTGCTATGGCGGAAAGTGGCCAGCTTATCTGCGTACTTGCTGGTCCAAAAGAGTCGGTAGAGAAGGTTAAGCCATATACTAAGGGAGTTATTGGTAAAGCCACTATTGATTTTGGTGGACAACCAGTTGGGAAAGCTTCGCTTTTGAAGGTTATTGGAAACACCTTTGTTTTCAATATGGTTGAGACTCTTTCCGAGGGACATGTTCTTGCAGAGAAATCTGGATTAGGTGTCGAGAATCTTCATCAATTCATCGAGGCTTTATTCCCAGGTCCATATGCCGCATACTCTGGTAGAATGTTGTCAGGCGATTATCACAAGAGGGAGGACCCGTTATTTGCTGTCGATTTAGCTAGAAAAGATGCAAGACATGCTATGACATTGGCTAAGAGCGCCGGTACTCAAATGAAGGCTCTCGAGGTCGCAGATGCTCATTTGGAGGGAGTTAAGAACCATAAGGGAGAAGCTGGTGACATTGCTGCTATTTATGGAGCCGTTAGACAAGAGGCTGGCTTGAAATTTGAGAATTAGGAAATGCGAGATTTGAACTGATATTGTAATTGATCACATAAGCATCGAAATCAGAACCAAAAAAATATGTCTATATGTAACATTCGACTGAAAATCATTAGATCGACAATAATCAATGAAGGAATGATAATTGAGTATAGATTTGATCGCATAATTTATTTATGTCTAACGAAAAAGAAAGAGCTGACGCGCCAAGCCAAACCATTAGCGCGAGTAGTACCTGGAAACCTTGAACCAAGCTCCATCATTTAATCACCAACCTCGAATAAAACAACCGCCTTAAGCAACTCCGAACCCTCTGAATCCAGACCTCACGACTTCATTATCACAAAATCAACATGGCAAACGGGTATGGCTCATTGTCCACTCGTGCAATCATATTCTGAAACTGCGAGACTAGAATCATAGCTAACAGGAGGGATTGAATAGTTGGAGTATCGTCATTGGCCTCATCATTGTTGTGCTTGCTTCTGCGGCAGCATGGTTCCTTTCTCCTAAAGGCGAAAATCAAACGTATGTATCTATCGCGCCCCGATAGAGTGTATTCAACTATGTGCGGATGAATGGACAGATGGATTTGGGCAACTTTTTTGAAATATCGGTGGCTAATTTGTTGGTATACAGAATCTGGCGCAGTTCTCTCATCCTCTCTTTCGCAAGTTGTTATCTTATGTGGGGTACGTATTCCCATCGCATCGATTTAGATTACACGGAGAAAGGAATGGAAGGAATGAGCCTAAGAACTATACTGACATTGACAACAGCGATTACGTTCTTAGCGCAATGGCATCCACTCATCGTACCCAGAAGAGGAGACTTAAGACCGGAGTATGCAAGACATATGAGTTGAGTGGTTATTACAGTTGGGCATGCATGATGGCGAAAGAGAATGAAGAAGAATGAGATGTATTATTTGGCGTTCATGGGATGGGATCGACTCTAATGGAGGAATGAAATGCGACTCGTGTATACTTATAGGAATTGATTGTGGAAATGGAAACTTTGTTATATCAGGCACTGAATTGAGCTTCTCCTTAGTCCGCCTCCACCGCAATGGCCTTCATGCCCCCAGCGGAGCGATACTTGTTTCTCTTCTTTGATTGTTTCCGATGCGTTCAAACCCCCAAGATCCCGGATTCCTCGCCGCGCTCGAACGCCGGGTCGTAATATGGTCCTCGAAGTATAGGCATACCTTGCGGGAATCTGTACCTTTGCAGTGAAGTTGGATTTGCAGATGCTTAGTTCACCTTGGCAAATGTAAATCTGTGAGCATACCATCGTGCTGTGCAATAGTGCACCATTCCCCCTGAATGTCTACTGCCAGCCCCTTAAATATCAATCATCTACGATATTTGGGATATATATCATTCATATTCGTTTTCTCATGAACCACCCTCCACTCTTCACTCTCCTCATTCACCCCAAGCCTAACCTTCCACCCCATTCTCTACCCAATTCCACTACCGCCCAAAGCGCTTTTCCATCAGCCGCTACCCCTGAATCTCCAACGGTGTCAACCCCATCCAAGCCGACCGCCCAAAGTATCCCCCTCCCAACCATCCACCTACTAATCGCTCCAACTGTCGCCAATATCGCTGCAGTCCCATACCCGCAATCCAGTAATATTTTCAAAGCCTCCACATTATTCGCAACAACAGCCCATCCTAAACTTCTCGCCGCAGCCGGTACGTCATACTCCCATATTACCATCAAAATAGGGAATAGTTTCGTAGAAGACGAGACTAGTAGCGCTGTAGATACGGAATTCGGGCGGGTGTATTTTGGGAGGAGACCGAGGAACACCAGAGGAGAAAGTGGTGAGGATGTGAGAAAGCGGATAGAGAGGTGAAAGCTTAGGGTTGAGAGGGCACAGAGGATTAGAAAGAATACGTATTGGAATACAATGGGTTGAGCGGCTAGACGAAGGAAATTCGTATTATCTGTTTCGATTGGAGCGGAAATGGGCGCGGAAGTTTGCTTTTCGATACGTGCCCATGTTAGGTAGACATCGAAGAGGAGGAGAAGGACACCGAGACGGATTATTGAAGGCTTAGAAGATAGATGTCAATATAAGATTTGCATCAGGGAGAGGAAATATCATACGTCAAATTGATCATGTTCTCTCATTAAAGTATTATGCAACAAATGTCTATAAACCTTTCCGTCCCCAAAACTATTAGCTTTCCCCTCGCTCAAAGATATGTGTGTGTGTGTGTGTGTGTGTGTGCGTGTGTGTAAATATCATAAGGTTAAGACAAGAGAAACAAACCTGTGGCTTAATCAAAACCAAATCAATAAACAAAACCACAAAATCATGCTCAACATATTTATCGCAAAATCGTCCACAATTCTTACAAACGGTTAATCGTACTCCATGACCAGTTGATCCTCCGGAATACTCGGTATAGAGTTGGGTAGTCGGATAGCGACACTCGATACAGATGGGCATTTCATATATTAGTGAGGAGAGAGATAAATGAGAGAAGAATACCTAGGTACATTTTGAGGATATATTGAATTGAGATCGTGAGTGAGATGGGAGGAGGATTGGAGAACGCGAACGCGATGTGGAGGTGGTCTGTGCTGAAGCTTTTAAAACCCCGCTGATGGGGAAGGCTAGTTTGCCATTGAACTCTTCGCTACCTCAACGTGAGTGGTAGTATACTACTACATGTTCATCATCGAATGTTTCTTGACTGCTTACATACTTTGCTCACAAACTAACTTGGTCAACTAACTCTAATTCCATTTCATGTTTTGGTCCTTCAACTCAACTTTGATACTCACACACTCTCCAGAGCAGGCGACAAAATGTCCGAAATCACCTCAAACGGCACCAAAAAGCGCAAACTCACTACCAAGTCTTGTAAGAGAGATGCTGCCATTATTGGTTTGCCAAATGAGACTCTTTCACCGAAAGCTCCTGGAAGAAGTGCTACAAGTGTTGCTCAAGGGCTCAACCTATCGAAAATGCTCGGCTGGATACGGAGATTGTTCTTGCTGAATTATCTAGATTACGAGAGCAGGTAGCAAAGTTGGAAAATGGAAATACTGCAGGTTTAAAAACTGAATCGGGCTCGCTAGCTGTCATCGACTTGACTGATGACGACGAGGTACTATCTCCCGTGAAACGAGAGCATAGGTCAAATGATTCAGATGCTCCAAACGTTCTCTTTGAAGTGTGAGTCAGAAAGTACCAGTTATAAAAGCACACGAGCTTACTAGGTTGGTTAGCACACCAGTACCGGAAATGGCAGAAAGTGTACAGAATGTATCAGAGGTGAGAGAGAGTCCAAGTCCTTACCTCAAACTTTCGCATAGTCTGCAATTGACTTCAAAGAGAATTCGCAGCTATCCATGACTGATACATACATCTGGTGTCAGAATACAGTGCAAATGCCCACAATAATGAGACGAATGCCTTTGACGCAGAATTTGCATCTTCCTCCTCAACCACACACAAAGTTTGAGTATCGTTTCTTGCGCGACAGTCTTGGAGGGCGTCGCATCACAGACGGATGGTACTCGTCAAATGGATCGAAAGAAGCGTTTGCCAACATTGGTCCTTACGGTTTGATGAACCGCGAATTTGACCCTCTTCTACCTTGTCTTCCTGGTATACATGGTGCTCAGATCTCGCCATGCCTACCACCGAACAAAATAGGTCAAACGTTTCCTCTTTTCATCAGCGATATTGGCGACTCACAATTTCAATATTATGGAACATATGAAGTCATGGTATCTGATCGTCTTGGTCACAATCAAATGCTCGAGCTCCCAGAGCAGATCAAACGTCATTGGGCACGAAAGCTTGGCGCAGGTTCTGCTCATGGTTCAAAAGCTTCTCCTATTATTTATGCATTGAGATATATGTGGCCCAGAAAGATATGTGGATGGTGGAATGCGGAGAATGACAGCTATACTGATCAAGAGGGCAGTGAAATGGAATCAATAGACTCTTCGTCGAGGACTATCACCAAAGAAGAGGCCCAGGATATCACAGAGGGGGCAGTCATGGCAGCTTTCGATAGAGTATGTACATCCTTGGTAAAGGAAATAACCTGCTAACAAAATTTCGTAGCCCGATTTGGATGATCCTCCAGGAGTTTCATTGTACTATGAATACCTCAAGTGCGTCGGCTACGATCTTGAGCTACATCACACATTGGTGACCAACATGAACGAGCTATGAAAATGCTTAACTCGTCAATGCTTCCACTGTCACTAAATATCTTCATTCCGGCATTTTTGGGTGTTCAATCTTCGTCCACATGCTTTTGCGATCATCTCAAGTTTGGCAGATAGCCTACAACACCAAAGGCGTGGATTTCTGAGTTGGTAACCATACGATGTCGATCATGGTTTATCAAGGCTTGGACATACGATACGGGAACCCATAGAAGGAGTGTGGTGGGTGTGGTGGAGCTAGAAACAGGTTTGTATAATAGATGGCACAAGATACTCTGTCCGTGCTAATGAACGACACCCAATATTCAGAATTGGAATTCTACCAATGCTTCTTTTTTTGCGGATACTCATAAGTAAGACAAACATGGCGATAAATTACTCAGTATAGGGCAAAACTGTACTTGAATGATGCCCAGCAAGCCAATCATATAGAATAGTTTTCTACTACTCCACATTCAGTTTACTTGTTTCCTGCCCCGTTAGTATGTAATCATTATGTCTCTTTCGACGTACTCAATAATTCGGGAAAGTCCACCTAGGGCCGAATTTTGGAAAAAATGTTGCGATTCGCAGATTCGAGAGGCCTCGGGATAAACCAAGAGGCCTGTTACGATAATCTACCTCAAAGCATGAAGATTTTGCAAGTGTTAGTGCTACATCACTTCTGTTGAATTGCTTGCTGAATCATGAGAGCAAGAACTGGCTACCATCGCGCGAGCTCATCAATTGAAACATTGGGATCATGGAAAGAATTCATCTGGGAAGGTCAAACGCATGTGATATCCTTGCCAGCAGTTTTACCCAGCCACCACATTTGTTAACCAGCTCTAGTATATATCAAACTCCTGTGCTGTACAAGATTTTAGTTGAGGACATGGCGAAGAGCACAGAGTGAGAGTGATTCTAAGATTCTGGAGTTTTGATAGACTTTATTGGCACTTAGATTTTCATCAGCATATTGAAGTAAGCTATTATTTGACTCGGTTTTCTTGATAAAATTGACCAGTTAGAGAGCTGCGATTGGTAACGGGAGCGTGTAACCAACATGGGAACCTGCTATTCGAATGGGGCGATCAATTAACAATCTATTAGAAGTTCAATATTTCCATATATGCACTAAAGCTCTCTCCGTTTATTCTTTCACATATCGAAATAAAAGGATCCAACACGCCACCTAGGAACATTTTACCAGTCTGGGTATCGTGAACTGCAACCGTGGTAGCTGGTAAAGTGTTCCCGTCATCTTCCATCATTTTAACCACATTCCAACCCCATCCTTCTCCCTCGCCCATCTCGCCTAATTTAATGATCCTAAACACCGCGGTTGGAATATTGGCCTCTATATTTTGTGAGTTTTTGATTGTTTTATGCAAGGCAGGTACAGTGGCGGCGTAAATATCTCCATTCTTGTCGACACTTATATCGTTTATCGGATATGGGAGGTTGATAGTATCGACTTTTCGGAGACGTTGTTCTGGTTCCAGGGAAAATACTTGGATTTGACCGGAGATCGATGAAGGAACATAGAGTAAATTGTCATGGCCGAGTGCTATCCCATTAGGCACTTTGAGGTTTCCAGGAGATTTCGTCACACCGCATTCTGTGGAAGGAGGCATACAATAACCAATGCTTCCACCTCCAAGAACGAGGTTTGAATATCCTCGCTAAAGGCCAAAGATTAGCGTGAGTTTTGTGTTCAACTTTGAGATGACCTACCGAACTACCCTTTGAACTATGAGCATTCGTGAACATGAATAAATGCTCATCGACCCAAGCCACGTGCCTAGATCTTTCAATGTCGATATTTGTAAAGGTCTGCTTGTGGGTCATGGTTTTGCTTCCCAATGTGGTTATGAAGTACTCAATCGTACTATTTGAATCCGTTTGGGTTTGGTTGAAAGGACCTGCTTTTCCAGTGTCTTCGAAAGGGCGATCATTGACGAGAACGATGTGCAACTTCTTATCATTTTTCGAATCCACTCGGATATCAAATCCATGAAGATTAAGTCTTCCATCGTTATTCATCCCTTCGAAATTTTGTGTTTGGAGCCATGTCAATCGACTCTTAATCGGGCCAGCTCCACGTGTATCCAGGACTCCAATTCGATCAGACAAACTACGGCCTGATGCATTTAGATGGTTCAAACTAAAGGACTTAGTTTGTAAGAATTAAGAGTATATGGTGCTGGGGGCATACCTCGGAAACCACTCAGCTCGACCCTTTGTATCTGAACATGCCATATAGAGCATTCCACTTTCCTGGTGCAACCACATATCTGCACAACCAGCTAAACCTACATCATCAATCTTCTCACATTCGACATCGAAGTTGAGGAAAGGTTTTAAAGCGCGGTTGTATCCCAAGGTGCCAAGAATCAATGATTTGTAAATAAATTGATAGAAAATGGTACTGACGGCTACACCGACCAGCGCTAGCCGGAAACCTATTCTTGCCATGAATCTCAAGTTTAAAAACATAAAGAACGAAAAATAAAACGGATGATGATGGGATGAATCTCCTCATAATATGTGGCCATTTCGCTCAGACGCAGGTTTGAAACCCGAAACATTACTACGCTATGATCGTGTTCGACTTCGACATCAACCCTCAAATCGACAGACCTGGTGGACCTAATATGTCTAAGCAGAAACTACGGAGCTTCTTCATCTGAAAAGGTAAAGTTATCATTGTTCGCGACTGTCAGAAAACACAACCGAGTCCTCCTAAGTCACGATTCACTCATGTGACGTGCTGTGTTGATTGGGGTCTAGCTGCTAATTATGAGTTGATATAATATGAAATTCCGTAATTTTAGGAGTAAATCTGATAGATTTTAAGCCTGAATAACTTGGGTCCGCTTTGAGAGTCCAGCTGGTAAGGTTACATGATACGAATAGAACTTGGGGTTCGGGAGTCGAGGTTATGTTTAACAGGTCTACATTATCTGATCTAGTGTCGTTTTTTCTAGCCCATGGTGTAATTGATTCGCTAAAAGGCAGATGTTAATATTTCACTAGATGGAAGAAAATAAGGAAGATGGGAGACACTTGAAAGTATTAGTTTCGCATGTCAAAGAGGGACACGGCCAAATCATTAGTCACGTGATAACTCCGTATAAGCCCGACCTCCTCTTTTTCCACCAGGAACAGATATCAATATTCATCTTTGATTATATCCTCGTGAACTTATGTGGCTTGCATTTTCTCAATGCCTTTCAAAATTGCCAGATTTTGGAAGAAGAAGTACCCCCAACTTCTAGTTGCACTTCAAACCAAAATTGATGCAGAAACTCCTTCCTCAAACGATGAGCCACCGTCTTCAAATGACGAACCGCGGTCAAAGAATGAGCTTCCCGGTCTCTTACGCCTACCACTTGAGATTCGTCAAATGATTTATGTGCAATTGCTCAAATGCAGACCCATGGAAATACAGTTTCCATATCGCCCAACGAGGAATTCCCGTCCTCTTCGCATACACATTTCTCGGGAGTGTGAGATATACACGGGTTTCTCAACCCATATTTTGCTGCCCGAATGTCACATCGAAAAGCTCACCATCGGCCTCCTCCGCGTGTGCCAACAGATCAGTGATGAAGCTCTCGACGTTCTGTACAGGCACAATGAATTCGCTTTACTTTTTTACAGTCCTTCATGGTTCAACCACAGCGCTCCATGTATATTGAATGCCGGTAATATGAAGCGTATTCGTGGTATACACATGATATGCGAGCGGCGAATCCTACTGAAAGAATATTCAATAATGAATCTCGAATTATGGGTTCCGCTATTGGTGAACGTAAGTCGATTCGAAATTTTCGTGCAAAATCCTCTTGCTAGAAGTAAATTTGATGTAGAGGAGGGAATTGAGTGGATTGAACCACTTTTAATGAGTGTGGCTGAAATCTCAGGAACAAGACCTCGTGTTACAGTTGATGATGATGAAAGGAGTGCTTCGACAATCAATCTTGTAACGAAGTGTTTTGGCACTGGATATGGAAATTTGGTCCTCTCTATGGAAGAGAGTTAAGGGACTACCCAAGTTGTTCGAATGTGATTAGGAGGTGAAGTCGGGATCTGGCTGGAGAATAGTCGAGCTGGACGTCCTGGTTACTGGTCTTTGGTACTAGTCCGGGTGTCAAAGGATGATATCAGTGTTGAGGTCAGGATACAGTGTGATAATTTAATGCTGGAGCTACTGAAAGAGGCTGACACTCTTGATATAATGCAAGATTCTCCCACCCAGACAACTGAATTTACCTAACCATAGCTAGCTCTACCCCTGAGATCATTTCGCGTAACATCAACAAAACGTCAACCATGTTCCTACAAGTTCGCAAGCTACACACTCGACGCGTCAGAAAATTTGACTCGGAAAGCAAATTCGGTATATTCATCAACCATATTTGGCCATCGGCAGAAGATATAAGCCAATATGCAATTCCAGCACCAAACAGAAGCCAGCGCTGCTTTTGCATCTGCACCTGCGGGGAACCCCTGAGCCTCTTATCCACCTAGTCCGACCCGCAAACTTACCCCAGCTTTTATAATTCGGTTTCCATCTGAAGAAGAAAACAGCGAGTGTGTCATTAAATTCTTTCGCTGCTTTTAAACAAATTTGACTTCCCCCCACGCTTCATGACTACATTTGTACATATCCCTGGAGAAGACTGATGCCATAAATTAATATTCATAGCATGGAACCTGTAGATCATGATATGAAATCGCGAGCACATGAAAGGAAATCTATAAAGTCCAAAGCTTGACCAACATGATGCCCACCAATAGGCGTAATCTTTCAGGGGCGGTTAAGTAAGTCTAAGCCCTAAACACGCCTGGTACCTCGGTCGATGTTGCTCTAATCTTCAGGCTTCCAAGCTTACAGCTACAGTATTTAGTTCAGTGACACCATCATGCATATGATGGGATGCAAATATCCCGGATGGATAAGATAGATAAGGTATGGATTCAATTGCAGTTCGGTCGTAATTCGATCGCAATATTCTTCAATACATTGTTTTGCTTCCCTTCAATATATCCACATGAAAGGTGTTGGTGAAGCTCCATTGAGTTTCTCTTGGACTTTCGCAAAATTTATTAACAATATAAACGATTCATGAACATATATCTATCATGCGACGCAGCCGTTTAAGCTTTGCTTCTTTATTCATGGTGATAGCAGGAATACTTTGGCTATCACATTCGACAATAAAAGAAACGTATGATCGCGCTAAATTGAACTGGGCGGCACAGCAGGGAGATAATGGACTCTTTCATAAGCCGGACGATGGAGTCATATCGAGTCCAAACTCAATCATTCCACCAGCTGAAGTACCAGCAGCAGCAGAGGTCCCCCTCAATCTCAATTTTCCACCACAAGCTCCCCCTTCATCTCCCGGTTCCTCAACTCCTATTGTAGAAAGTAGCTCCGCATTCGACGACACAAAATATCCCTTTCAAGACGATCTCTCCCTTCCTCTCCCGACTGTCGATCTCAAAACTTTCGCATACAAATGGCCTCACAATTACGACCCCGCTATGCCAGTGGGTTCAAGGTTCGCCTATGCAACTTTCATGAACACACATAATCCTTCAATTCGCGATCCCTATTTCATGGCCGTCCAATCTCTCATTTATCGCGTTCTTTGGCGATCGTCTTCCAAAACTCATTCTTATCCATTTATCACGTTTGTCGCTTCCCATGTTACTCAAGAACAACGACAACTACTTGCAGGTGCAGGAGCTATCGTCAGAGAACTGGGGCCATTAGATTGGAACCCTAGTAGAAAGGATTTGGCGGATGGAGAAGACAAACCAATCTATTCCCGATGGAAAGATACCTTTTCCAAATTACACATGTGGGCACAAACGGATTTCGATAGGATTTTATTTCTGGACGCGGATGCTTTTCCATTAGAAAATATTGATGAGATGTTTGATTTGGTTGCTCCCAAATCGTGTAATGCACTTAAGCAAGAACCAAGTGATCTTTTTCCTGACGGATCAGCCAGTTGTAATGGTGAAGAATTCATCTTCTCGGGGGTGCCTCAACTTCCCGGCATTCCGGTGGAGATCAATGTGGGAGCGATGGTGTTTACACCGAGTCAATTGATTTATGACAGGTTTTTGCAGAATTATCAGAAATACAATATGTATAATACGAATATGGCAGATCAAGCATTCTTTGCATGGCAGTTTAAACAAGATGGTGCGTTTCCGGTGACACCCTTGGAGAGGAAATGGGGAGGGTTCTTTCCACATGAAGAAGATGAAGGGAAATTGAAGGTAGTTCATGAGAAATTGTGGGCTGCGCAAGGGTGGCTACTGGAAGAGTGGATGGAGGGATGGAGGGAAATGCTGGAATGGTATGATGGGCGTGGGTTTGAGGGGGAGAGAAATAAGGACGAGTTTTTCAAACCAAAGTTGGGAAAACATTTGGGGAATGGGGAGATATTGTAGGGCTCGTTGAGGTTATCTCATGTGAAATTATGAAGCGATCAGGTAAGTTGAGTTAGATGTACATATTATAGCCGTTACGATTTTATACCTTCTTGATATGCGAGAATATTTTGAGTGGCTTGTGTTTATACATTCAACTAGACTGATATTTCATAGATTCATTATCCTTTCTTTATCTCTATACGATAATTGCATGGATTGCAGGACTAGTGGATATGAGAGGAGACACTTGACCAGCTTGGTTATTTAATTTGTAGTCGTGCCAGTGACTGATTTATACAGGGCAGAAATCGATTAATGATAGACATATGACCTATTGGGAGATACATCCTCCTAAAACCCGACCACTACCCATACACATTATTTGCAGGCAATGGATTGCCAAATCACAACTGGGCTCATTTCCATCAAGACATTCTTATATAGCCCATTGCCGGCTCGGATTGATGGATTCCTTATCCAATGAAAAAGCAAAAGGAAAACGTTTTCCATCTCGTATTACACCAACTAGTGCGACTAGTGTATACCCATTTGATATCATTCAACCTTCATTTAACCACCAGACATCGTCCTCACCACTTTTTTGCACCCCATCTCCAATTCCTTCATACCCGTCAACAGCCTCATCTCCCCCAGGCTCTAAAGCTACCACGCCAGCCCACACTGCGTTCACACTATCCCAATCACCGTATACACCGCCAGAATTCATCTGTACATCATTTTCGCCTGGTATTTTTGACGTACCCACAGCATAGGGATCAGCATCAATATCATTCGACATATCATTCCAGTCAATTTCGGCAGAGGCCTCAACACCATTGTTGTCTCCTCCGCCCTCCACATACCCCTCATCGTATTCTGGTCCTGTGTCCATATTCGTATCCGAAACTAGAGGCCCCGCCGTTCCATCATATCCTGAATCAGATGAATGATGAGAATCGGATGCGGAGGAAACAGACGATTCTACGCATTCTTTGTCCTTTTCTCTGGTCGGAGGTTCTCCTTCATCATCTTCCTCATCACTCTCCCATGTGATCTCGTCTTTATCATGAATGATATCCACGTCAATATCAAAACCCACTTCTCCCGGTGTCAAATTACTTCCCCCATTACCCTGAGAAGCGACATCCTCAATTCTAAGCCCTTGTGCCAGCTCTGGATTTTTTTCAACTCCTTCCATCAATGCCTCTTCCAAATCATTTGCCAGATTTGGCGGGGCACCCAGTCCCGCCGCGTCTTCAATTCCGGTCGGTGTGTCCTGATCGGAGAATGGTTGGCTCTGTGAGAGAGGGACAGTGGGGGATGTGAAAGGTGGAATTACACCTTCGCCTAAAGTTAAGTTTGGGAGAGAAGAGCTCGTATTTGTGGGGGAAAACAAAGTGGAATCGTGAGGTGGATGAATAAATCCATGATGCGGATGATGCTCGGGATGATGACGATGATGGTGATGTTTGTTATCGGTAGAAATGGATTGCGGCAAATTTCTGGAGCGGGAATGGTTTGGTTGAGAGGGATCAGTGGGGGTGTTGCCAGGCACTTTGAGCTTAGGTATCTTAGAGAGGCGATCAGAAGAGCTTTGAGCTATTTTGCGTTTAGGTGAACTGGAGCTGGGATTTGCGTTGGTGTGAGATGTCATTGTATGTCTGTGTTTGTGATGTGACTTGAAGTTTCGAACGGATGATTTGTGCGAGTCAAGCTTTTGAGATTGTGTGTGTGATTTTGTTGAATGCATGTGTTCGAACGGAAGATTGATTACACACTACGCGGATTAAAGATGATGCTTATAGATTGTCTTGTGGCAGGAAACGTGGACATAGATATAGAATGTAGATAGAGATTTGAAAGCTGCCATCGACTGATGATCAAAATGAAGTCGAGGTGGAGAGCTACGAATGAAGGTAGAACAACAAAATAAATAACAAAGAGAATGATTGGTAAAGCTGAGTTCAGTACCCCTCATAACACGTGTGAAAGAGTATGTAATTTTTAATGCAGGCTACTTGCCTCGTCTACCAGAATGAATGGAACATTCGATGGTAACGGTTATTGGTATCTGGCTACTTATAACAAAGAGATTTTAGACAATAACGATGCGCGGAAATAGATTCCTGGAATGAAGATAGACAAAGGGGAGATTCACGAGTTCTGGATCGAACTTATTCTTGGGATATCCAATGATCCTTTGTTTGATTTAGACCTGGCATGAAATGTAATTGTTTGATCACAGCCCAAGTCAATAATAGGCATAAATGCATGATATAAATGAACATCGTTCAGGAAGCTAATAAGCTATGTCTTGGTACTCCAGATATCCATGAAATCAAAAACGCCATTGTATGCAAAACCATGCCAACGGTGTTTTCCTAACACCTAATTCCGAATATCCATTACCGTAGAAGTATGTAGTAGAAATGAATAAGAGAAATCCAACAAAAATTGATTCAATCAAGTAATCCCCATAATAAGTTTATTGCCCGATGCCTGCACCAATACTAGACAGGTACTGACACCTCGCCATCTGTACATCTGGTATGGTTTCCATTGTAACATTTGCAGTGGCTGTCCCTGTAACATTTTCTGCTTGAAAAAGTATCCTCTGATAATTACTGGTCTTCAATTGTCCCCATCTAGGTGCACTTTTGAGCTTATATGTATTAGGGTCTTTGCTCCTAATAAAGCTGGTCCAGTATGCCTGAATGGATGGTATAAGAGTAGAATCTGGTGGTCCACTGCTACCCCAAATAGAACCTGATTCGGAAGTGTGCGTAACACCATACCCACTGGCAGCATTTGTGGATGATAGAACATCCCAATGATAATTCCAATTTCCAATTGATGGGGCGTAGAAGTCATGAGAGCCGGATAGGTAGATTCCGGGACAATTGTAGCGCATCTCGCCATAAGCAAGAGCTGCTGCACTCCAGTATGTGCCGGCGTTTGGATATTGAGATCCCTGAGGGTAGTACTCATGGATGTTACTTATTTGATCATCAGTAAGTTTGACGAAATTATCTTTTAAAAACTTGGACATTTCGGCGCTGGAATTAATGGACTGGGGAGTAAATATTGTGCCTTCGTTTGTGTCGTCACTAGAATGAAGAGAATACTGTGTTAGTCTTTTTGGCATAGGTGAGCAGCAGTAAAGAAGACATACCCAAATATCGCAGGAAGTTTGACATATTGCCCTGTGGCAAATAACTTGTAGGTATAATCAGGAGTGAAATCGCCGTCAATGACATTAGACCACATAAACACCGGATCGTCTCCTGCACCACCTGGTGTTGGGACATTGATATTGTTCTTGGCAATGACGCTGATATCCAACCCCCTCAAACAAGCTAGTGTGTCGCTTTGTCCAGCACAACCAGTTCGTTGAACTAAACCATCGTACTGGTATTGTGACTCGCCTACCGTGAGTTGAGCACCGAAAGACTGACTTTCGGCCGCACTAGCATGGAAGAGTCCATCATCGCGACCTCCATATGCAGAAAGCTGAAGGTCTACAGCAGCCGCACCCGCACTTGCTCCTCCAATTGTTACATGTGATTTATACCTCCAAACTGTTACATATTAATATCGTATGCTATAGTAGACGTATTAAGCCAAACACTGGAGCAAACTTACTTGTTCAATGTTCTTCTGAACCCATTCAAGTAGGAATCGTTGATCCTTTAGTCCGACGTTTGTGTCACCATTCGCCACAACTTCCTTACTGGTCAAGAAACCCCAAGGACCAACACGATAGTTGAACGTGACTACTACGATTGTCGTGTGACCCGCTGCAATCAGGCTAGTCGCATTCAAGTTTGGGCTGGAAAGGGTATTGAAGCCACCACCTTGAAAGTAAACAAAGACAGGGTGGAGTTTGCTTGCATCGGTGGGTGCATAGATGTCCACAAAAAGACAATCCTCGGTTGTTTTGGATGAAAGCGACGTTGAAGGTGAGGAGTGACAGACTCCACCATGCTGAAATCCTTAAGTCAGTAATGAATAAATAGAGTGGGCAGAAGTGCACACCTTGTTTTGCTATTTGCAAAGTATCATTACAACGGGACTTTGAGGGGCTCGAAAACGCAGATCTCCTAAAGGAGCAGCGGCATATCGTAGTCCAAGCCACTGAGTGACGCCATTACCATTATTAGTTCCCAAATATTTTGAGTATCCTAGATCAACAGTTGTGTTGACCGATGGTGTCGGTGCTGGAGCTGCAGATGAGCAGGCAGCAAGCGTCAGGAATATTAAAGTATTAAACATTTTCCAATTTTGCAAACAGTTTCTTTGCTTAGGTTGGAATGAAATCTGGAAGTGGTCGGAAGAGGGAAATATTTTTGGTAAAGGATTCGATGTTTATATGCATGCTGCGGAGACCTTCTGAATCACTGCATGAATAATTAGCCCGATGAAAGGTATTGACATGATCCACAACGGTTTGTCGTTGAAGGGTTTTCTGCGAAGGGGCTTTGAAAAGGGCACACAAGATCCATCTTTTCTTTTTTTTTTGCTATGCATCCTGGAGGAAGGTGAGCACACTAATACCCCTGCTACCGAGATTCAGAAAGAATAACGAGAGATCTGACAAGGTTTTGTGATGTGCGGAAGAAAACTCAAGAAGATATAAATGTATGTTATACCCTCGAATTCGTCACGTAAAGGCAATGTAATCGATCATCTGCTCTTCTATTGCAGATATTGTGATGCCCGAGACCGTTCAGACATAATAAAGATGGTGTACAAGAACTTACATTGCAGCCAATCGCTGCATATATTGCCGAGAATGCGGGGAATGGGGTGAAAGTCAAAATAGTGTTATTGTCAAGTGATTTCGGGAAGGTGAATATACAGAAGGTAAAGACGACAAAGACATCATCTTGTATGTCTCAGAGGGTGTCATTTTTTAAGTTCACTCGCGATTTTTGAGTATGAGGTGAGATAGATTAAGATTACCCACATAGATGAGATGAGATTCAACGTGATTGATGAGAAGCGAGAGGAACGCTGTGTTGGTTGGCATTGAGGTACGAATTACTATAATAGCCGTGAATGGATGGATCTCGACTCTCAGAGCACAGCCTGCAATTGCGAGATTTTTTTGAATTCCCGCTGTGGGAGGGAGGCACGTGGGGGGATTGGAAGAAAAAAGTGCACGGACCTTGGCCCTCCCAGTACTTATCTACCAGATAATGTAATCTAATAAGCTTTACGGATTACAAACTCTTGTTGCTCTACTTTGAAAAGCTTCACACCAATGTCCCGAGGTCACCCTAAGAACGCAAATGTGGCTTGGTAAGGTTGCATTCACCACCTCATGGTATACCTATCCCTCGAATTAACGGTGTGATGTTGGATTGGGAAGGGGCTGAGGCCAAAACTTTCTGTACCCTAGTCACAGCCGTGAATCTTTTTATAACTCTAAAGACGATTAACAACAACTAATAATGACAAACAGCAAAGCGTTGAAAAGGCTGTGTCCATCTAATTTAAAAGAGTTCCGACGAAGAGTTTACTGAACTCATCTAAACCCGTCCGTTCTGAGAAAGTCCCTTGAGGCTATCCCACTTATCAATATTTGGATAACTCGCATTCATCAATATATTCATACTCTAACGAACTGAAATCTGGTAGACGCCCTCAAAAGAACATGTAGATCACAGAACTGCAGTAAGTTTTTGAAATCAGAGCTCAAATGATGAAGTACCTGCGGTTCACGCTGTTTGTTGTTATTCGGTACTCTTTAAAGTGATCCGAGGTGAAAAAAGGATCAATAACCCCAAGATCCTATCACGATTGCCTTACTTGAGTGTCCTACTTCTCTTGTCAATGATTCTTCGACATGAAGGAGAAGCTGCGTTGTTCTTAGGACCAATCTGAAAGAAAATCATCAGCACTTTCCCCTTCAATCTCTTGCAAACACGGCCCACCTTCATATTGAAGCTTATAGAAAACAGGAGCTTCCTCATCACGGTGTAGCAGGATTGGAGCAGGTGCTCCTTCCCACTTAGAAACTTTAAATTTCAATCCAACATGTTTCTCGGTATCGGTCCATAAGAGCCGTTTTTCACATTCCTCTGGGCTGTCAATATGTCTCTCATTCGCCTCAACGCGATCCGACAGCCAGTCTCTAAAAACTCTTATGACTCCCTCACCAATGTTAACGCAACTTAGAAACAGTCCTCGTTTCGGACCAACTTTAACGATATTGGTGATGGTGCAGAGTTGCGAGAAAAGTTCATGTGACTCGAGATCAACGATTTGAGATACAAGCCCATCTTCAGATTCTGGTAGGAGGGTCGGTCTAGCACTACCTGCCAGATGTCGTATTCTTTCTTCAGACTGAAGCGGCCTAAAGCGCGAATATAGACCGGCCATTTTACCTAACCTCCCTGTGTTGTTGACATCTTTGTATATATCTCCCTCTCCAACAACGTCGTCACTTAGTCCATCTGTGCCGAGATAATTGCACAAAGCGTATGGGGTGATAAGTTTCGTAGAGGGATGAAAACATTCAAGGATCAACTTGTGATTCTTTAAAGACGCCGCTGCAATGAGGCGATGATGTATGATTCGGATTATGAGATCATGGAAACGATGGCAGGTGCATGCGAGAGGAAGAAGTCGACGGGTAGAAAAGAGTGAAAGGACATTGATGAGGAGCTTTGATATTGTTAGCCAGCTAGTTCATAGAGCTAGTCAAAATGGAACACCGACCTCATTAGGTATTGAAGCAATTCCAGTGAAACTATTCACCATTTTGTCGACTGTTAATTGTCAAATAGTATATTAAAAGTTTATTGTTTTGGCTAAAGCCAAGCAAATCTATATATAACAAGCTCAGCCCTTATGTTCATCAGAGGTTTCGAACAGTTCTCAGTGATAAGTCCCTGTGAAATTTGAGGGCAGGAAAGCATCAGAAAAATAAGAGAATCGTGGGTATGTCGGATGATATTGAATTAGGAGTAAATCCGATAGATCAGCTTGGAGGGTGGTAGCCGTAAAAACAATCTAGACTTTCTAATCAACCCTATGCATTGTTCGGTGGAATGCAGATGCAATGAACTCGAACGATAGTGGGTAGTTCTTTTCTTTGTCCCATGAGATAAGATTGCGAGTATGGTGAGATATCCAACCCGAGATGCTAGGTAATAGCGACAGTTGTGAACAGTGGCACAGTGTCGTTTGGGTGTAGAAATGTAAAAGTGTGTATATGCAATATAACTTGTTCTAATTAATGGAGATGTACGATGGACGACAATTGTCATTAGAGAAAGCGATGAACATCATGCCGTGTCATGCCATGCCACGCCATGTCATGTCATCATTCGTTAATTCATGTCGATTCCCTCTTGAAATAATGACGGAAGTGGTAGGTATCTTTCAATTCGATCGATAAGAGATCCCTGTGTTTCAATCTAAAACGCGTTTGTAGATGCATGCCGAAATATATCCACAAATCACGTGAAGAAAATCGGCAAAGTGAGTGTAGTAGTGTACTTGATCTCGGAACAAGATCTGATTTATACAATCGTGTATCATTCATTTAGTAGACTGAATCTCAGAACAGAAATTGGGACTTAACGAAACGAGGAATCCTGCCTTGAATAAATCTAGCTGCTCTCCGATCACCACATGTTTCTACTGTATGTAATCTGGAAAGTTTACTCCACTGGTAGTTGACCATCGCCAAATTGTAATTTTAAGGGGGTCGGATCGGGTGAGAGGAAACACTGTTGATCTCGAACCTACCTAAAGACACTCCCGTCGAAAGAACTATGGTTCATGCCTCAAGCTTCGAGCTTTTAAACGATCTCAAGAAAGATGTCTTGCTTATCAAGCTCTCCCCTAATTGCCTCAATGGACTGTACTACAATGAAATTATAGAATACCTATTCTTGCTACCTATCGCTGATGAACTTTATAGTCTTCTGATTTCAAGCTAGTCGGCTCTGTTAAGATTCACCCAGAAAATTCATTTGCGAATCAACGGCACAATAATCCTATAGCACATGTTATTATGACTAAGCCGTGCTCTTTTCCATCTCTACCTTAGTGTTCGTTTCTCGCCGTTATTTCCCGTTAGCACCATTTGGTGCACCTTTCTACATACAATAAAGTCGAGAAAATGACAATCTACTCGAGTATACCCACTGATGAGTTTCCACCTTCAACTGTGAAAGCTCTTTACAAATTGCTTACGAGAATTGTAGGGTAGCAAGGCATTGAATGAAGTTCATGATTAACAAACAATCAGGAGCAACACGCGTTACTCCCACAAACTTTTCAATAATATACTCTCGAGTTTTGAAATTCGAGGAGAGAGAGCTGAGTAACGTCATTTTGAATTGAGAAATGGCAATAACATTGTTCAAGCCTTGCAAGAACAACGTCGACAGTATGACAATAAGATGCCTCTTGGTTACTTACATCTGTGTCTTTTCTCAGAAACTCACTCACCATCACCCCATCACATAAACACTCTTAGATATTCAAGATTCCGATCTCTGGCATTTCAGAAGACCTTCGCTACCCAGCCAACTTTCTTGACCACTTCACAGAAGAAATAGACGTTTTATTCACCATGTCTGAAGTTTACTGTTTCTCTTTTGCTACCTTAGACGATCCAAACTTTACTATACAAATCCATCACATCATAGTAGGTCTTTGTGTGGTTGAGGATGAGTTTGACCACGATTTCGAGGATGAGTCAGATGGTTCAGATGGTTCGGGACGATGCAAATGATGAGTTTGACGACGATTCGGGAGACGACAACGAAGACGATTCCGAGTTCCAGATGAATCTTACGACGATACAGACGATGCAGATGATGCAGACGATGAGTTTGACGACGACTCCGAAGACGATTCTGAAGACAATTCAAACTATTCAGACGATTCGGATGACGAGTTTTGACGATTCTGAGGACGATTCAGACGATCCACAGGCCAATCTCGAGCACGATTCTGAGGATTAAGGTAATGAGTCTGCAGCGAGCATTTCATACACATAAACCATGGCATTTTTATGTCTGAAATCTATAAAAAATCTTTCAATGAAAACAAGAGATAAGTAAGAAACAACAACTAACAATTTAAGCTGGTCTCTACTCAGATCCCTCAATAAGTCGACCTTGAAAATAAACATATTTGAAACTTAAGAGCCTTTTAACAGCCGAATGTAATACAAATCTGATATTATAACATAAAATGAGAAGTAAAATGCCTATTCCACAATAACATACACCTTGGGTATATGATTTCGCGTGAAACGAATCTGTGCGACTTGGAGAAAATTCGGATCTTGTCCTGTTGTACAAATTAAATGTCGTTTGTAATAAATAAGTCTTTAGCTAATAGTATCAGAAAAAACTCTGACTCCTTTTGAAGGATCTCAATAGTTGTTACCATACTCAAATTCGCTCAAAATGCCTTGAATGCAGTCTCAACTACTGCGTCCAAATCCACTCATTATATGTAGCCTCTTCTCTTCTTCTTTCTCTCGTCCAACTAGTCCCTCATCCCATTCCCTCATCTGACATAAAATCCCCACTGCATCCACATCCAAATCAAAGTCCCCGTTGACACCGCGGCTGGTCCTGCTAATCCCCTGCCCATCTTCGTAGTGCCAAACACCAACCACTCTCCCATGAAATGTAACCACGCAACAATAAATGTCGCATATCCCAATTGATATATTTGTGGGTTGCTAATATAATATGCGGTTTGAAGACGAACGATCGCAGTGATAAGAGTCCAGTTTCCGAATGTGCGTGAAGAGAGAGGAGTGGCAGATGTGGTTAACGGGTAGGATTGGGAGGTACCTTTGCTGAGTGGGTTATTGGATTTGGGGATGGCGTTATAGATTTGGGAGTTAAAGTGGAGAGTAAAATAGCATTGGACGGTGTTGAAAAGAGAAGTTACGGAGATCTAGGGTTAGGTTAGTGCTGAGACCATAGATGAGGGAAAGGACGGTGATACTCACGAAAAGAAGCCATTGGGGAAGTACACCTTCATGTTGAGGCAAGTATGCGGTGAGGCTAGTGAGGAAACTCATGTTGAGAAACTGTATTTGGATGTCCGCTCGTGTATGAGATTGGAATGTGTTTGTGTCGTGATAATGGGATCACGCCAATGTAAATCAAACCTTTGAGAAGAGTTCAGTCCAGTCAGCATAACGAAGTAAACAAAAATTAAAGTTCGAAGATCAGCCTTGTACAGGGGTCGACGGGTTGGGAGCTAAGCTCGCGTGGTCCCGCACTATTGGCAACAAATCATGTTAGACATTGTTAGTGCCTCGAGTATCTCCAATAGTGAGATTGCTACGAGGCTACTCGGTGTTATCAGCCCGGCATTTCGTTCATGAAATTTAGCGGATTTCCTCACCAAAACTTAGTCCAAAGTCATCACCTAGTATTTCTAAGTCCTGGTGGTCTCAACATTTCTCGGAATTGTCTTCCTCTTCTTTCAATCCATTGACAATTGACAAAATGGTTCTCGATACTATTCTGCCAAAGGCTGTCCTTACTGGACTTGCTGGTATTGGAGCTTTCATTGTCGCTGGCAAAGTCATTAGCTACATCCAGCTTTTATTGAGTCTTTTCGTCCTATCAGGAAAGAATGTAAGGATCCTTGATACTTGAAGTGCCAGCAGTTGCAGTTTGGTAGAGTTGACTAACATATTCTCAATAGCTTCGAACCTACGGAAAGAAAGGAACTTGGGCAGTAGTGACTGGTGCTTCTGATGGTCTCGGCAAAGAATATGCAATTCAACTTGCCCAGAAAGGATTCAATATTGTCCTTGTCTCCCGCACTGAATCGAAACTTCAAACTCTTGCCTCCGAAATTCAAACCAAATATGCCGGTTCAAATATCCAGACAAAGATTCTTGCCATGGATTTCGCTGCCAATAGGGATGAGGATTATGCAAAGTTGAAGGCTCTTGTTGATGGACTTGATGTAGGAATCTTGGTCAACAATGTCGGACAAAGTCACAGCATTCCAGTGCCGTTTATTCAGACACCAAAGGAGGAAATGAGAGATATCATTACCATCAACTGCACAGGCACACTTCGAGTTACTCAAATTGTAGCACCTGGAATGGTCCAACGCAAACGCGGGTTGATCTTAACTATGGGCTCATTTGGTGGATGGTTACCGACTCCTCTACTGGCTACATACTCTGGGAGCAAGGCATTCTTACAACAATGGTCTACATCCCTCGGAGGCGAACTTAAGGGTACAGGCGTCGACGTCGAGTTAGTACTGAGCTACCTTGTTACGACCGCAATGAGCAAGATTCGACGTACCAGCATGTTTATTCCTAACCCAAGAACATTTGTCAAGACTACTCTGGCCAAGATTGGTAGAAGTGGAGGAGCTCAGAAGATGGCTTATACAAGTACACCATTTTGGGGTCATGCGTTAATGCAATGGTGGTTGGAGAATACCTTAGGGGTTGGAGGGTCGTTTGTGGTAGATCAAAACAAAGGCATGCACCAGAGTATCAGAACCAGAGCTTTGAAGAAAGCCGAAAGGGATGCTAAGAAGGCATGATTCAATAAACCAAAAGAGCTTGGTCAGGCTCAGGAGCGAAAAGAAGAGTGGAAGGCGAGCGGGGGATGAACGAAATGCACAAATTGCTGGATTTCTTATGCTAGGAATTGGGTGAATTGGCTTCATGGTGACAGGAAGGAACTCATGAGAAGGAACTATAGATTAAATCTTCTCTGGCTTTTTCGAGATAGATGAGAAGAGTATAAAATCAATATCAATATGACATTATGCTCAGCGCTATGTATTCCGGGATAGATTTCGAATAACTTGAGCATTAGAAAGGCTTATATTTATTGTTACCTATACAGCTAATTGTAATGGAATAATCTCCTTAAATCTTGAATTGTAAAAAAGAAAGTCCTTACGTTGAGATGAAACTCTCATAAATACGGCGTATAGCTAGCTATTCTATCCTGCCTGCCTATATATCTAGCTACTAGAGTACTTCTTATTTATTGATCATCTTTCAATTTATTACCTAGATTGGTAAAACCCTATCTAAATCTACCAAATCTCTATTGTTTTTTTACATCCCGTCACGTGCCTCGAATAAATATTTATCCTGGAAGCTTCGACCGCGTCGCGAGACTCATCTAGAGAGAGAGAGTTGTAGCTCTAAAACAGAAAAAATATACAGCTGCAGGTATACAAATATAAACCTTGCCCTCGATCCATCTCGAATTTTTACAATCATTTGCCTACATCGCATAACTTCGAAGATTGTCATATCATCACGGCTCAATCGCTTTTTTCTTCATGAAGTTTTTCTAATCTCTAATTCCATCTTCTGCAAGATTCCTTCTCGCGACAGTATTTCTTTAAAGATTGGGTGATTGCCAGCCAAAGAGGGAGAAAAAAAGAGAATGGCTCTTCCAGGAACACCACAGAGACCTTTACCAGGTACATATTTCATGACACCTGCTCCTCCGAGATTCAATCAACCTCCTCCACCACAACCTCCTCTATTTCGACCACCGCAACCGCATGCTGGACGTGAGCCAACTCCACCTCGAGACGGCCCAATACCTCCTCCAAATCAACCTCAAATTTTACCGCAACCCTTATTACCTATTTCACGAGCTGCGAAAACTATCAACGAAGTTCTGCAAAGAGAATCAAGCTTTCCTGATCTTGATAGCTATGTCAAGCGTGAGTTTACATTAGAATTTGTATAGGAGACACAGCTAACAGTTTCGCAGAGGGCATCTCATCTGACTATGAACTTCCATCACCTGTCTCCGATCCCGCCTGGGTTCCTTTTCAAAAGATGAGGATGTACGATATTCCAGATACGATTTACGACCAATACAATAATGCTTCTTTCGGGACATCGATGGGGCTTTTTGCGGAGTTAAATCATGCATGGGCAGCTATCGACAACGCATTATACTTATGGGACTATACCAGCCCAAATCCAACATTGCGAGGATTCGAGGACCAACCAAATGGTATCAGGGCTGTGAAACTGGTGATACCGCGCAAAGGAGTTTTCATTGAAGCCATCACGCACATTGTGGTGGTCGCAACCACTCAAGATATTATTTTGTTGGGTGTCGCAGACGGAGTTGATGAGCATGGGAATAGAAATTTGGAGCTTTACAGAACCGGCATGACGCTTTCCATCAGAGGACTCGATGTCACAGTAATTGAAGGATCAACAGACACGGGGCGCATATTTTTCGCGGGAGGAGCCAACCAGGTCTACGAGCTTACGTATCAAAATGAAGACAAATGGTTTTCAAATAAGACTGGAAAGCTCAATCACACAAGTCCTGGATATACATCCTTGGTACCCATACCTTGGGGTCGCGCGACGACTGAGGTTGTGGTGGATATGGTTGTGGATGACACCCGTCGATTGCTATACACTCTTTCCTCTGAATCCACCATTCGAACATTCCACATGGATAGCGCTACCACTTTGACACAAGTCATTGACAAGAAGCGACAAGATATTTTGAGAGATATCTCTCACATGATTTCGGCATCGCCCCTCTTATCGTCTCATATGCGGATCGTTTCGATTAGTCCTATATCTGCAAAAGAAGGACTAAAGCTTCATCTTATGGCTACTACTACATCAGGATGCCGCTTGTTTCTGAGTGCTACTCGGGGTTATGCTTACGGTTTTCAAACTGGCCAGGGAGCTCCACAAAGTATGCAGGTTCAACACATCAGATTTCCACCCAGGATTGATCGGCCGGGAACTAGACCTTATCCTGGACTCGAGCCAGCGATCGAGACAAGCTCTGATGCACTAGCACATACACGCAAAGGTCTTCGATACCCTCCAGGTTTCTTCTTCTGTTTCGTTTCCAAGGAGACTCGTGATGGGAGTGATGCTCTTTTTCTGTCGGCTCCAGATACAGGTCGGATAGCAGCGCAGGCACGAGACATGGCCGCTCAACAAGGTTTGCGATATTGTGAATCGGCATTTTGGCTGGAGATGGGCAGTCGTGCTGAGGCTATTGGTCTTGTGACAAAACCTTTCGCTGCTTCAGATCAACCCCTGGGCTTCGGAAATGAACTCGCAACTCAGTATGATCTCCCAACCCCGGAAATAGCAATTATGACAAATTCTGGTATTCATATCGTTCGACGCCGACGACTTGTAGACATATTTGCCTCTGCAATTCGAAGTGGATTTGATGATGGAGAAACAGAGATTAAGAAATTCATTCGACAGTATGGTCGAGGGGAAACGACCGCGACTGCTTTAGCCGTAGCGTGTGGACAGGGCGGCGATGCTTCGGTAGTTGGAGAGAGGAGGATAGCAGATCCAGACACAATTGAGGCTGCTAGGAGAGCATTCGTTGAGCATGGGGGACGTGCATCTATGGACCAGAATATGGTTGTCGAGGGACCAGCCCAAGCAATTGAAAACGTGCGGCCTTCTTCGAGACACGACGGGCTTGCTCTCTATATGGCTAGATTGGTCCGTGGTCTTTGGAAATCTCCGGTCATAAAAATGGAAATTACCAAGGAGGTGGTTGCTATAAAACCAACAATTGATAAGAAGAAGCTAGCTGCTGTTCAAGATGAACTTATGAAATTGTCGAAGTTCTTGGAGGACAACAAGACATTCATTGAGGGGCTGTCTGGGCCCGAGGGTCTTAATCGTGTCACAAGTCAACAGGAGGATCTTGCTCTGCAGGGCGAACACCAAGCATTGCATTCACTGCAAATCCTTAACACGAGCATTGTGGAAGGAATATCTTTTGTTCAAATGTTTTTCGAGGAACGAGTCGATGATATTTGGGCTGCGTTAGATGATACAACGAAGCAACAACTCCGAGAACTGACATTCGAACTATTATTCTCTACTGACAATGGCAAGAACTTGGCGAAATTGTTGGTAAAGGAGATTGTGAATCGTAATATTGCCCAAGGCTCGAATGTTGATACAGTCGCCGAGGCTCTTAGAAGACGCTGTGGTACTTTCTGTAGTCCTGACGATGTCATTATTTTCAGGGCCCAAGAACAGTTGCAACGAGCGACCAGCGTCGGACCTTCATCTGATCACGGAAGGGCACTTCTCAATGAGAGTGTTCGATTATTTCAGGAAGTCGCCGGTGTTTTATCTCATGACAATTTGTACAGCGCTTGTGCTCAATTTGCCGCCAATCAATTCTACGCAGGTGCAATCAGCCTGGCACTACTTGTTGCTCACGAATCTGATCGTGGAAACAAAGCTTTGTCGTGGCTTAATGATGGCAGGCCTGCCGACGACCATCGAGCAAGTTTCTTCGAGTTCCGCAAGGACTGTTATAACATTGTAAAGGAGATCTTAACTGCTGTCGACAACGACACTGGGAACGCACCGGAAATGGTTGATGGTAGACAAACCACCCAAGCTAGAATGCGCGAAGAAGCACATCAAGTGGTTGATGAATCTGACGATGAGGTCTTTCAATACGACCTATTTGATTGGTACCTTGAACAAGGCTGGACGGAGAGAATCATTGCTACAGACTCGCCGTTCATTGTTAAATATCTCGAGCGAACTGCCAGCGAAAGCACGGAGAATTCCGACTTGCTTTGGAAGTACTACGTTCATCGAGAAGATTACTCTTCCGCTGCTGGTGTACAGCTCACTTTGGCTAAGAGTGAACTTCCCATCTCCTTGCAAAGGAGAATCGAATACTTAAGTAGAGCCAAGGCAAATGCTCAAACACAAGGCGGTGCCATCCACAGACAAGCGCGACAAATCATGCTGCATGAGGCTGGTGAATTGCTGGACGTCGCTAGTATTCAACATGAATTGTTGCAACGCTTGAGAGCCGATCCTAGAATTCCTCAAGCACGTAAAGATTCCGTGGTACAAGATCTTGACGGCGCCATTCAACCGCTCTCTGTCGTAAGTTGCCACCCACCCCGTCCTCGTGTGCTTCCACATTGCTAACATCTTCTAGCTTTTCAATGAATATGCCGACCAAGGCCAGTACTATGATATCTGTCTCCAAATATTTGCAGCCGCCAATCATCACAACCAGGCTGATATCCGGACTATGTGGGAACAACTTCTACAGTCAATACAGGCCCGTGTAGAAGAAGACCCGCAAGCACAAACTGAACGTCCTTATGAAGCTATCGTAAACATTATCCGTGAAATGTCGCAAAAGCTTTCTGGATACGAAATCGTCTTCTCTCCTAGCATTCTCATCCCCCTCGTTGAAACTTACGCAGCTGAACACGCCCATCCAGGTCCGACAAATTGGGTCCCAGATTTGTTTATCAGTGTTTCCTTCGACTTTGACACAATAATCAACATCTTAGAAGGAATGTTTTACAATGAGGTCAACCCATTCGTTGGGGCAAATAGGATAGTTCTCGCAAATCACATTGTGTATTCAGCGGAGCAATGGTACGAGGACTGTATTAGACACAATAAGAGGGTCTTTGGAGGCGAAGTGCAGCAAGATCAAATTGGACAGATTTTGGCCGAGTTGGGTGCGGCTGCCTATAGAGATGATCCCGTTGGGAGACAGAGAATTATGGAGTTGAGAAGGAGGATTGGGTTGGGGGGGCTACGATGAGAGGAGAATGGGAAATATCTTGCGATCGGGACGAAGGCAAGAAGAAGAAACTTGTAATTGGAAAATGAAAACAAGTGCAGGGCAATTTTTTTTTACAAGAGCCCATTGCCGTATGTGGCATTTGTAGGCATAAATTGGGCATTAAGCTAGGAGTTGGGGAACTTGTTTGTTTTGATACTAAGTGGAGGGAGCAGAGTTTGATCTTGCTGAAATCATCGATTGGTGTGTAGACGGGGGAACTTACGCCATCAACAGTGGTTCGATGTGCTGAAAGCGGGGTTTCATGGGGAAAAGCGATGACGATACATGGATGCTTTGTGCTTGTAATTCATAGATGATTGGTGCATGTTGGTTGGTAATGTTATTGTGATGATCAATGGTGAAAAGTAACAAGGGAGTGAAAAGCTAGTTTCAATTAGGTAGTTGTCGATGGAGGAGGAGAGAATGAAATGAATGGATACCATAATATATGAATTTGTTGACTTGGATTAAATTGCTTGGTATAGTTCAGTCATAATTAAGATATGAGCACGAGACATTCGGACATGGCAAATGTAGAAATATGCGAAATGGAAAAATAAGGTTAGATTCAGAGCATGGTTTATGAATAAATAGACCAAGTTTCTGGAATGGGGAGGGGGTTGGTGAAATTATCTGGGGCGGAGTAATAATGTAAATCTAAAGCTCAAGTTCCGAAATGAAGTGATAGTGGTGATGGGAATAAAGGTGGCATGAAGTGTTCCATTTCATTTAATGAGATCCAAAGTGGTGCTAACTAGAGTCATTTAGAGGTTGAGATTAGGTGGCCGATGAGTCTTTTGTCAGACAGGTACTCCAGAATCCTTACCTATTCTTGTTGGCATAAGAAAGAGCTATATTAAGATAATATGGTTCTGGCCCAGGCTCCTGAAGTTTGGCTTATAACCGAAAATGAAGGGGTTAACTTTGGGGACGGATTTAATGGGAATGATTGTACGAATATTCACGTTCGTGGAGTGCTTATCTCGAATTGTTGTTCTCCAAATAGGATTCGAGGAAATTTCAGTGAATAGAGCCTCTGAGTATTGTATCGTGTCTAAAATTCACGGTCCTTAAGTATAGGGAAGGAAATTAATGCAGCGCTGGCAATATATTCTGCCTCGAAACCCACGGAAGTTCTTTGTATCTTATCTCTCCTTCCATCATATATTTGCCCTCCCTTAAACCCCAAATAGCTCTCATCCAACTCGTCTCCTGCCCGTTAAGACGGCCCCTCTCCTATATCCAGGTTTCCACTTCCCTATTGGCCTTTATGGACTTAATTGCATGTATTACGATGCTTGTAATGAGAGGGCGAGAATAATCGAGCGATATGAATAGATATGGAACTATGAATAGCGACGGGAACATGATTCCCATCATTCTTGAGAGTCGAATCTAATGGAGGTTATAACTTGGCAGAGAATGGTTGAAATAACTACCAAGATATCTCTGCTGGAGGCTTGCTTGGAAGAACGAAGATGACAGAATCTTTCCCGCGTTTGAGCAATAAACGGCTTTCCATATTGAAAACGCCTCGTGAACAATTGAGGACACTAATTTTGATGCTGCACTTTGATACTTGATTTGTTCCATCTGTTTGCAGCTTCGAAGGACTGATATAAGGAGTAACACGTTCTTCGATATCCAAATCACATATCTCGTAATAAAATTGATACTGATTTTCTAGATTGCAGCAAATATTCCTAGAAAACACGGGGTATATGACGAACAAAATGACAAATGAAGAAGCAAATCCTACATGAAACAACTATAACCCATCAATCATTCATACAAGACTTTCGGTACTGCTACCGCTTTTTCTGACTGGCTTTCCATTATTCACAGACATACTATCATGCCACTTCACCTCGGTTTCCGTCCTCACTGCGATTCCCATCTGACCTTTGCGCAATCCATCCCCCTTTCCGTGATCACTCTCCACATCAGTGACATCACTCATTTTATCATAGTCTCCGTCTATATCGCCGGCCCCAATCTCTGTAGTGTGATGCGCCGTTCTCCTACTCATTTCATAGCCTTCTGGGCGGCGGCCTGTTCTTCCCTGTCCATATCCTTCGGTAGACTTTTTTTGACTCCGCGAACGATCACTTTCTCCAAAAATTTTGGGGATAGTGCGCACAAAGATGGGTTTAAGTGCGGGCGCACACGCGCAAACAAATGATAAGCCGACTTCGATTGTTGTAATACAGAAAAGAAGAGAATACGTGATATCTGCTGGAGGTTTGCGATCGAACGAATCGAGAAGGATGATCCGAATAATACCAATAATAACGGTTCTGTGGTAGCATGTTAGAAAAGGACGGCTTGCCAAGAGTAATGGTGAGAAATGGACGGTTACTCACATAAGACCAAATGACAATATAGCAACAAGCATCAACTTTTGCCTCCGTGAGATTTGTAGATTGTAGACAATCCATGTTGGCATTAACAAAGCCAGCATGTCAGTCAAAACACTGACACTTGCTGTCCCGGTAACAAAGTTCGCAAAGTTCATGCAGACGGCATCAGGGTACAGGGCAGGGTACCAGTTTGCGGCAATGGGAACACAATGGAAAGCAGTGAGAAGGAATGTGACAACCATCATGACGCCATTGAAAATCAAAAGACCAATAATCGTTAGTCTGACATTAGATTTTTGGCCCGTGAGGCGAAGTAGGAAGAGAAGGATGGAGGTTTTCACGAGAGCCAAGATGGGATTGTAGATGAGTTCGGTCTGGAATAATCAGTAATAAGCAATGAGAGATATTCACACCAGAAACTAACCGCATAGCCATATTTTGCACCGGGCACGGAGTCCCAATCGGCTGGGAGATCCCATATGTGTATGCCAACATAATTGTATTTTATCACTACTGGCTATTAGGATGGTTCCGATGGTGAGGTCGGCGAAGGAAGTGCTTTACCTTTGTATGAAGTATATGTCTCCGCCCAGTAAACGATCTAGAAAGGGAGAAGTTCAGTGGAAGATCTTGCTGTTAATCGTCCCCCCAGCATAAGAGCCTGCCCAGATCGCAAGGTCGATCAAGAGCTCAACTGCATATCCATTCATTTTCATGAAAGTTTCTTGCAGAATGGCACTTCTATGGCCTGCGAATTGTGAACAAAACTCACCATAGCAAAGCAAATTACCCAATCATCTGCAACTGGTTAGTGACGGTTTGTATTCAAATTTCAAAATATTGATTCTCAGAAAAAATGAGCATAACTGATAGCAATCACATACCTGCAGCAAAAGATCTAGTCAAGGATCTACTGTACAATCGTAAAAAGAGGGCAACTGTCGCAATGGCCGGAAAAACAAAAGTGATCGCAAATGCCTGAGCTTGACGATTATCGTGAGGAAGATCCGCAACAGCAGCAGCACTGGTAGCCATGTTGTGGTCGGTGAACCAGTCACAATTCCACCCTGGGGCTCATGTACAAGGAAGTGGAATGCAAACGACAATGGACCACCCTCACTGAACGATTTAGAAGAGGAACGAAAAGTGATCATCAAAAAATGGGACCATACACGACGCGCGACGAACAGGCCATTATATTATGATAAAGTCAATTAGCAGGTGCAAATCAATGCAACCGAGGGTCCATCACCACATGGCAATCCAAGGATTGAAAAGTTCAATACGACAAAAAACCCAGTCAAGGGGATTTAAAAGGAAAGGTCGAAAAAAAGCGACAAAGTTAAAACGAGGTATTGAGTTTTCAACTTCACCAGGGTTTTGACAAACATCGAGTCAAATTTTATGAGAAATAAAACGGATCGGTATGTTGTCTATGCTCTGGAAGGTCTGATTGGCCTGATTTATCTGTATGAATACTACTTTTCCCTGAAGGGGCAGCGATACTGTATGTGCGACAGCAGTAGTATGGATCTTTTCGAGCTTCGTCGCACCCGAGCATCATGACTAGGCCAGATTTGTGTTCTTTACATCCGTACCCAGAAACTCGGGTAAAGAAAGGCAATTCCCGCCCCGGTAAAGCCAGGGGTATGGAACACGGAAGAAATTCTTGTGGAGTGCTGCACCTTTTGATTGCGTCGCGGATTTGAACTTGAAATTTGTGATTGTGTGACAAAGGGCAAAGATGGGGTGGGCGAGTGCCTAGAGGGTGAGGGGGTGAGGAAGGTTAGAGACGGGACCGAGGAAGCAGCCAGTGGCAATCGGTGCAAGTCCGAAATATACAAGGTGTTCAACATGGTGATTAAATTCAGAATCTGCAACCCCCTTTCCTCCTGCATTCTTTTACTTCCGTTCAATATCTGCCGACTGTAACACTGCACACACACATGCAGTGTGAAATACAGATTCTGTTGGTATGAAAAGGTATCACCTTAATTGCCGGTACCAACTAAGGAGGAATAAAAAGCCACAACATATGTAGCGTAACGGCGTCGATGAAAGGCGGGGTTTTACGTCTCTTTTCTTTTTAAATGCTGATGCCATGGTTTCTGAAGTTTGTAGGGAGTAACGTTACGGTACCGAGTTCAATGCCATAAAATTGGCATTGATGTCAATGCAGCGAGTGCGGCCGGTCAAGGTATTCTACTTATGTAGCTGATTCTGGTCCTAGTTCTACTCTAAATTGATCGAAAGGGCTTAGCTATACAGACTTGGAGATTGAATTTTTGATCAATTCCAGGATCTGCGTAACGTCTTGGCAAGTACAAGTAGCTGATTCGATCTGATAAACGCAAAGTAGACTTACTACAAGTCTAGATATTTAACAGTAAGGACTTTAAACCAATCATGCAAAAGCATGTGTATCATATAATTGGTGCTTCGCACTTCGTATATTCTCATTAACAAAACTTTACCTTCATCTGATGATCAGCTGGGGTTTAACTTCGTAAATGGGGCTTCCCGCTATATAGCCTCCGAGCCTCGAGATAGCAAAATACTACTTATTACTTTTCAAAGTTTTAACCCTAACCCTCATTGATTTTCTCTAGGCTGGAAATT